TGAGATAACTTGATGTTAGCCTTTGAGCGGGGTTCACTCACGGATGGCAAAGACACAGCAGGTAGGCTGCCATTCCTAGCTCCCATGCCCAGCACGTAGCTAGTGGCTCATACCTTCTGGGAGCAGAGCTGGCCTCACATAATCCTCCCCAACCCAGCATTCCAGGCAACAACCTACCTTTGATCGGAATTGGCATTTGAATCGGAACCCATTTGGAAAGAAGGCAAACACAGACAGGGAAGGTGTGGGTTTTCTACCTCAGGAAGATAGGGCTGGGTGGAGGGCTAGTGTAGAGACTACAGTGAGGCAACATTGGGTGAATGACTGATGGGGAGGGCATGGGAATCTAAGGGAACTGGAAGCAAAGATGAGCTGGGAAGCTTCCAAATGAAAACATCATGTCATTAATAATTTTGCCTAAATTTGTTCCTATGTGTATATGTATTTAGTGCCAAATACTTTAGTAGCAAATCCCTGCTGAGGCTGAGAACTGAAAAGAAACCAGAAAGCAGTAAACTCTGATATTTTAAAAAATATTCCCTTAAAAAAGAGATTTGAAGACACTCATTTCTACAATGACTTCTGGCCTCAAACCCATCTTTCCACAATCTGCTCTTTGTCCCTCTGCTCCCCATTCCCTGCCCTAGCATTTTTTCTGGAACTGCTTCATCCCAACAGAAGTTTGAGAACTGGGCTCCAGAACTCTGAAGTTCAGGTCAGTAATTTGAACTGCCAAGACCACAAAGAAGATTAAAACACAATGTGCCTTCAAGGAAGGCATGACATGGTTGGGAAGAACACAGGGACACATGAAATGATAACTGACAACACAATTAAGAAAAGGAAAATGGGAGATTAAAGGTAATATGGCCAATGAAGGGCAGAGGATGAGAAAATCCAGATGAATAAGGATTATAAGCAAAGCTTCTGGGAAGCTGTTGACTTGATCCATTCCCAAAGAAACAGAGTCTATGTGGAGGTGTACATGCAGGAAATGTATTGAGAATCAGTGCCTCTTGGAAATCCTCTTCAGAGGGTGAGTGGGCAGAGGGGGTTGCTCAGCTGTGATGTAGTTGCAAATGGCCTCTCATTTAGGAGCTGGGGAGCTGAGGTGGCCTTTCAGAGTTGTCTTGAATTGGGCCAAGGAAGCCAGGCCTTTGCAGTTTCCACCATCAACCAATCATTGAGTGTAAGCTTCCTCTGGGCGGTGATGTGACCTTGGGCCAGAGAGACTCAGTTGAGAGCCTTTAGCTGCCAGGAGTATCAGCAGCTGGCCGAATGGGTGTCTCAGTCCTCAAGGATGGAGCTGGTATACTATCAAAGCATCTGCCACAGGTATGAATTCATCTAGTCCTGATGTCTATGGGTTGGATTTGTGTGGTTGGAGAAAAGGGAAAGGATCTCTCTGTCAGAAGGAGGCACAAGATAGGTTTCTTTTTTTTTTCCCAAGTGAGCAGAACACTGTGGCTCTAAGTGAAGGGTATGTGTAGGAAAACAGGCAGGATAAGAAACTAGGAGGAGGGCCAGGGGCTTCCTGCAGAGAATCTTGAACATTAGTCATGCCTGTACGTCATCATTTTCCGAACAAAATATCACATTTCAGCATATAATATCTATTTTTAAATATACACAATTTCTCACTGATACAAATGTAGGAGTGGAGGATATGGGACCACTTGTAATATGAACAAATTTAAAATGTGATTTGGGATCATTTGTCACATTTGTTTTCAAATTTGTTTCATTTCCTAACTGGTCATAAGAGTACTGACTATATATATATATATATACACATATATATATATGTATATCTTTTCTTTTTATATTTCTGGAGTTCAACTATACTATAAGATGAAAAGTCAGTCTACAAGTATGGTAAAATCTTGCAGAGCAGGGTCCAGGGTTTTGAAAGCTGATACTTCCCTGTAACCTGTTCTCCATTTTTCAGGAAACCATATGTCATTCTGAAGGAAAAAGGCTAATTGACCCATTTATATTGGTTTCTAAATGAAAGAGAACAGTTAAAATAGGGACATACTGTGGGGGTTTGAATAACGGGCACTTGTTTGTAAGGTGATTATTATAAAAAATGCAAGGACACGTTGATTTTTTTTTTTTACAGGCTGGGAATTTCGCACTATAAAATGAGAATGGAAAGAGAGTTAGCTACTGAGTGGGATGATGAATGGATGGTGGACAGAGCCAGGACTGAGCCCAAGCACTAGCTCCACATATTCTGTGTTGGATACTTTCCAGGGTAAATAATGAAAATGATGCCACTTGTCTTATTTTTATTCTTTCCATTTGTAGAACTGTGAAATTTATGATCATTTTTTTTTCTTTACTGAGCCTATTTTGAGGAGTTATTAGTTTGGGTAAAATGCTGTAGATTGTTTTGAGAAAAGTTATATAAAGATAAAAAGAATATAAAATAAGAATTCAGTGTCTTGGCAACTGAAAATCAGGTCACTGGTTTACAAGACATCATCTTCTGCAAAGTACATTTTTAGGGGTAGTTAATTAGAGGACTCAGTAGAGTTTTATACCCCGGTATGCTTAAGAATCACAAGGAGCTGGATATGGCTCCTAGGGGTTTCTATTTCAGAAGGTTTGATGGAGCTCGGAAATACGCATTTTAAATTGTGTCCTGCCCAATTCTGAAACAGATGATCTGCTGTCCACATCTAGTGATCACTATGCTTACATATAAAAAGCTTGTCTAACAGGGGTCTGCACATTCCTAGGTCTAGGCAGAAAATATAAATAAGAGGACTGATCTGGCATAAGTCATTTAGGGCCTGGTGCAAATGCTGGCAAGCTGGAAGGCACATGTAAAGGGTCAACAGTGCCTCAGTTTTAACTGATTGTTGTCATGTGGGAATGTGAATCCAGCATTGCCAGAGAGCCTGATTTTTTAACAGATGCCAAGAAGCTGGAATTTTCTATGTCTCTGATTATTTAAGGGTTGATATCTAATTGAAAAAACCTAAAGACACTGTGTGCCACAGATAAAACATGTGTGTGCTGGCTTCAGTCTCTGAGAAGCCAGTTTGATGCATCTGGTCTAAAGAAGGAAGGAATACAAGGCTCTGGGATTGTGCAGGGTGAGTTTCGATGCTGTTAAGGCAGAGTGGTCTCAGTTCATTGTTTCTAGAGCAATTGTTTTTAAGTTACTTGCTCTATGGGGTGCCTGGGCGACTCAGTCGGTTGAGTGTCTGCCTTTGGCTCAGGTCATGATCTTGGGATCCTGGGATCTAGCCCCAGATTGGGTACCCTGCTCAGTGGGGAGTCTGCCTCTCTCTCTCCCTCTCACACTTTCTCTCAAAAAAAAAAAAAATCTTCAACTACTTGATCTAGGAACTACTTTGGGGAAAACCACAGTGAAGTCATTGAACATACTGCTGCTTGTGCATAGAATATTTGGCATTTAACAAGAGTAAAAATATCTATTTTTTTTAAAGATTTATTTATTTGAGAGAGAGAGAGTGCACATTGCACAAGCGTAAGGGGGGAGCGACAGACCGAAGGGGAGAGGATCCTCAAGCAGACTCTCTGCTGAACTCAGAGCCTCTGGGGGGCTCGATCCCAGGACCCCAAGATCATGACCTGAGTAGAAATCAAGAGTTGGAACACTTAATGGACTAGCCATCCAGGTGCCCCAAAGATCCATTATTTTCGATTACTTCCTTAGAGATTTTATTTTCAGATTTGGACAGGGAGGCCATTGCTGACAGTGTCCTTGGGAAAGGGGGATGGATGGGTTGGGATGGGCTTAAGGACTTGAAACTAAAGCTGGGAATTGGGTGGGAACAGTAGCAGGGGCAGAGTCTTCCTGAGTTCTTGGGACAGTAATGATGAGGAAATTAGATGAGAGGACCAAAATTCTAACCCAGCCAGACATATACCCAGAGAGCTGGAATCAGAATGAAGCTGGGAGTGATACTTTGAATCAGAGGTCAGCTCATCACAGGGCTTTTTTTTTTTTTTTTAATAAAGCAGTGGACTTTATTTGAGAAAAGAGCAGTTACATGAATCTCGAGTGATCAGAGTTTTCATCTAAAATATCATTTTATCACTTCTGTGTTCATAGTATTTAAATATGTGTTGTAAGCTCTACCTTCCTTTGTGGCCCTCTGTGGACACTGGCTAATGGACTTTTGAAGGAGAAAGATGAACTCAGCCAAAGTCTCCTGATTGGAGGCTGGACCTTTGGAATGGCTGCTGAGTGTGAATATAAAATGCTAATTCCAGAGCTTGCCTTCTGCATCTGGGGGCAGCTCAGTTCAGCTGCACAGTTGCCGGTGTTGGCTGGGGGAGAGAGGTGGAATGTGTTAGTGGTTCCCAAACATGGTTGAGCATCAGTCACGATTCATCCAGGATGAGCTCATAATATTGTAGTAACAAACAGTCCCTGAATCTTGGGACCTTAATACAACCAAATGTACTTATTACTCAGACTATGTTGACAAGGTTAGTGGGGAGGGGTGGTGGTGGTGTGTGTGTGTGTGTGTGTGTGTTTACGCTCACTGTGGTCACTCGGGGACTCAGACTGATAGAGGCTTCATTTCCATGTGAGTGCTTCAGTGAAGGGACTGGGCAGAGCCACTTACTGGCTTTTAAGTACCTGCCTGAAAATAACATATGTCACTTCTGCTCACATTTCAAAAGCAAGTGACATGGCTGAGTCTAACTTCAAAAGAGGCAGGAACATGCAATCCTACCATGAGTTTATATGGAATATTTGTGAAGAGCCCTATTAAATACCACAACCCTCAAGATTCTGATTCATTTTGTCTTCCCCAGTCATTCTACTAATGCAGATTTGGAAACCTCTGGCCTGTCTAGTTGATCTTTGGAGGAACTGCCCAGCCGAGGGAGTCCTTTTCTTAAAGTCCTAAAGAGGCACCATACGTAGTGAGTGTAGGATTGCTTTCAGCAGACGTCCAGTCCGATGAACCACTTTTCGTAGCAACTCACCCACTCTTCAAGAGGGAACCAAATGCAAAGTAACTGTATTTTTTATTTCTATTAACAACAAAATACTTACATAATTTCACTTTTGCTTTTAAGAGCACATATATTACAAATAAAGAAACTCCACAAACTTTAAAGATTAGTATTTATCAACACTTTTGTACACATACACAAATATTTTAATATAATGGTATCTGAAATGTTATTCATACAATTTTAGCACTGTCATAAGTATTAACTAAAAAGGTTCTTTTAAATTTGGTAAAAACCATATATTTTACAATCTTCTATTTACATTTGAAATGTGCTTAAATGTTACAAAAACATTCACTTTGACCTTTAAAATGTGTACTAGGACTTGGCATTGAACATATTGTAACTGACAGCAAACTTAGGGTTTGCTTTTGAGCTACACATTCATTGGAGTTTCATGGCAAATATTCAGCTTGGCTTGATCAACGTTGCTCAAGAAAAAAAAATCATAAGAAATGTGCAAAACTGGAGGCTGGCAAAATTCTCAAGCTGGCGAGGTAAAAAATTATTAACACTATAAAAACTTCAAATAAATTAAATCTTTCTCTTCCCCGAGTTGAGCGGCAAATTCAGAAGGTTCCCTTCGAGGTGTGTCTGATGCAGCAGACCCCCCCTCAAACTTCCTCACTGGCTGAGATGGAGACGGTGGGCAGAGCCGGAGCCACCCTGCTAATGACTGGAGGGCAGGTTCGTTCCGCTCCGCGCTTTGACAGGTCGTCCCTGTACGTAATCTTCACAGGATGAAACGCAACACAACAAAACAAAACGAAAATACAGAGGTTCATGTTAATATTGCCAAGCACAAAATTAAAACCCAGAGCAGTGCTTTCTTTCTTCCCCATAGGGACACTGTGAGTTGTTGAAAATGAGCTTATCAGAGTAGTTCTGGAATTTTTTTCCAAGCCCAGGTCAGAAGCATTTTGGCAAGTTTTAAAATAGCTTTGCAGTACTCTTCAACTACCAGATATAAATTTATAAATAATGACTTTATGATTGTAGCTGAGTAATTCCAGAATTTCATTTTATTCTAGAGGTTTACAATTTATAGTGTCAAAATACCCAAAAGGTGAAACACCTGAAGGCTCATTTAAATGTGTGCATTAATGGAAATATAAGAAAAAAATACACCTTGACCTGACTTTACTTTGAAAATAATATTAACATGTCTAAATGATACCTTCCTGTCATATAGGTGCAAATAATGGTATGTAAATACGATAACAACAGTAGAAACCCCAGGCATCTCTAAAGTGTATCTCTGTAAAGAAGAGACTTAATGAATATTTCAAATTTCTGGCTGTGAAGATTCTCCCGCTTACTTGACATTTTGCTATGGTTTAGCTTTAACCCTCCTCCAAGACAGATTAACAGTTCTATTTGCACGGAGCACGAAGCATCTGGGTATCCTAGACTGCCAATAAATTCTCCTTACGATCAATGCCACAAGTTCTGCTTAAATAATTTGGGAAATAATGTGTCCACAGAGTATCTGAAACTCCCAGAGTGATATGCCTTTGCGTCTTGCCTGCTTGGCACCATAACAGTGTGGATCCGATCCTTTCTCTGTATTTTATATTTAAGATTCGTTACTGCCATTGATTTCGCTATGTTATCAGCGTTAGTGCTGAAACAGACTCCAAGTGATCGTCTTATATTTACGTTTCATCCAGTTATTTACATGTATCGCCATTTTGGCCTCCATCAAAGGAGGCTTTTATGTTTTTGGCTACATATAAACTAGTGTGGTATTCTGGCTGCCTATAATATAAGGTAGTTGTTTGCCTGTCACTTTAGCCACCCCAACTGCTTCCTCCCAATATCTCCATTTTACACACTAGCATCCACTTTATCCTATTCCATCTCTTTCCATATACTGAAGTTTCTTTCACCAAGCAGGTGGCTTCAGGATATCCTCTTAGCTATGACTTTTCTGGACACTCCTGGAGCAAATTGCATAATTAATTCTATTCCTATTTTTAAAAAATTTCTACGTCTATCTATTCTAACACTATTTCTATTTTTACAAGTAGAATTTCTCTCTTCACGGTAAGTATATATGTAACTTTTTTGCCAGAACATGTCATGAGTATAAAGGTATGTGAATGTATTCATGCATTACAAGATTGTGCTAAAATTTGACTATGTTTCCCTCCACTAGAGGAACCCAACCATTACGGCCAGATTCCTTTTCATTAATAAAATTGAGAAAAGAAGCAAACAATTTTTTGTTGTTGTTGTAAAGCTGAACTGAGACAACACCCATTTTTAAAAATACTAGGGACTTTACAGATCTTAATCATTGGTTAGCTCTTTCTGATTTCAGGAAGTTGTTCATTACAACCAATGAATAACACTTATCAATGGTTGTCAAGAAAATAGCTAATTTCACTCTAGTATCTTACAGTTTTGCTATGGACAAATTTACACTTATGATTGATGATTATTAACTAGTTTCTCCTCTGGAATCTCTTTTACAGAGGTAGTAGTTAATACTTTGTCCTAATTTTAATCTAAGGTGGAAATGTGGAATGCCCGTATAATAGAGTAAATAATTTTTAAGGAAAACTTTTTTTGAAGTTATTATGTATGTTGTTGTCATTGTCCCATATATAAATACCGATGTGACAAATCCTCAGGACTAGGAGAAAGTTTATCTTTCCTGCCAACAGATCTGTTTTTTACTGAATAATAAGATCTGTGCAATCCATCCGTTTCTTTTCTTTGTATCAGTTTCTTTGTATCCGTTTCTTTTCTTTGTATCAGTTGCCAGGAACACAAAGTCAAACTTTGCTTTTTTTAGTAAAGGAATTTTTTCCTGGAAAAAAATTAGTTTTCTCTCCTCCTAATCAGCTGGTTCTTATCTTTGTGTGAAAGATTTTTGTTGTTGTTGTTTTGTTTTGTTTTGTTGTTGTTGCAATTTGAGGTATACTGAATCTTTGGTTTGGATACAACTGACCTCAAATACATTTTACAAATTGGTAGAGTACGAATTTTCTTTTTAAAAGCTAAGTTGTTGGGGTGTCTGTTTGGCTCAGTTGGTAGATCATGCAACTCTCAATTACAAGATTGTGAGTTAAAGCCCCATGTTGGGCATGGAGCCTACTTAAAAAAAATAAAAGGTAAGTTTTTAACTTTAATCAGCAGGCTTTTTTTTTTCTTTTTCATATCAGCCTATCTTGAATGGAAATAAAGTTGTTCTAATTAAATAAACACTCAGACAACACTAGCCCCACTATGGAGGTGTCTGGGGGAATATGAACAACTAGGAAGAGAGAGGCAGACCAAAAGGCCACAAAGGACAGTGTAGACATAAGGAAAGAAAAACATACCACTTTTGCTTATAGTACTGAGGGAAATACTAGACACAGAGGAACAGAAGCTGTACAGACATGGACCGCGACAGAGCTGCCAGGAAAAAAAGAGAAAAGCATTTTTTCGCCTGAAGTTTCAAGGTCAGATGCAATTTACAGTTGGAAACAAGCATTTCTTCACCACCTTTTCCAACTTTAAGATCCATCGCTTGTTCTTTTTGTTTCACTCTCACATGTATGATTACCCCCATGCAATCGAGGCATCTCTCTTGAGTTTTTAATTCCCATCACCCCTTCATGATCCCAAACCACTAATAACAATCCCTCATTGAGGAACCCTATCCAGGGAGATTAATGATCTCCAACATAAATCAATTAACCAACTTCTTCCTCTAGCTACTTTGGAGAGTTTAAAATGTGAGTAAAAGGAGATGGAAAAGAAGAAAAGAGAAACAATGAGAAATGCCCTTGGAAGAAAACACGCATGGGATATATTTCATGCTTTGTGAATAGTGTTGATAGTGCTAGGCCCTTTAAAGAAACGAAGGGCTACTAATTTTTAATGAGTGGCTACTATGCATGAGGCACTGTTAGATTATTCAAATTTTCCTGCTCAATTATTCTGTAAAGAGCACATCTTACTCCTGGAGGAGACCATGGGTAGTAAGATGTCCAGGTCGAGTGCGAGAGTTGATGGGTGCTGGGAAGCCAAAGAGTGGTCCTTGGATTTTGACCACTTGATTCTCAGCAACTCAAAAAGTACTGTGATTAATGAATATCCAGATTTTGTGCACAGCCTTATGGAACATGCTGGATGCATGGATGATATGCTGGTGGCGTAGAGGATTAAGTTTTACCCAATTCTGCACATCTTCAGGAATTCCCAGCCTGGGTAGATGCAGTCTCGTCCTTACAAAGCCGTGACCCTAGACCTGGTGTTCTTCCTGAGTATGGTGCAGAGACCCCTGGTGGCAGACTGTGGAGCTGCACCTCACAGCCAGGGCCTTGTGAGGTCCTACATTAGGGGTGACAAGGAGTGGCAGCAAACCTAGTGGAATGTCACCCAGTGTTCCTTGGTGTCTAAAAGGTTCTATCTATTCTAGAAAACCAACTGCTCATATGGTTTGGATAAACATACCTGAAAACGTTGGAAATTACCTGGATTCTCATCTTTTTTTTTTCTATGGATTTTTTTCCCCAACCTGATTGCTGCTTTGAGAGGCAAAGGGTGTTGTACATGGAGGAGTGAGCAACTCCACGCTCATGGTGTTCATGTAAGAGAAGAGACGTCTACAGTCCTTCTGGCACTGGGGATAGAATGAACAGTTTCTATGCACCGGCAGCTTGGGCCACCTCAAGCCAAGTCTTACCTGCTCATTCATGATTGTGGAGAGTTCACTGAGCATGTCCTTATAATGGGACCTCAGTTCTTCCTGGTACTCCAGCTGATCCTCCTTGATGAGCCGCTCGTTCACATCAAGGGCCTGCCCACACGCATCTGCAAACTGCCTTTAGTGACAGCAAAAAACAAATTACCAATCAGCTGTAGACAGGGGCGGCTCCAAGTCAGGCTGCGGAGAGAGTCTGCTCCCTGGAGGAGGTGAGCTCAGGCGGCTCCTGCCTGAAGGCGCTCCAGAACATTCCAACACAGAAAAACTTACCTGAAGATTTCCTTCAAAAGTTTTACTTGGTTGTCAGGGTACCTCTTTGCATTGGTTTCTTCAAGAAAAGCTCGTGCGTAGGCCATTGGCCCAGCATTAACCTATTGGGGAGAAGAGAATTGGCTGAGGAGGATGCCATCTCTCCCACAGCACCCAAATCCTCTCACAGAGCCCGGTGATCTACTGATGTGCTCTCTTACCTGCTGTCCCCCGACTCAGGAGTCAGTAAGCTCCGGAAGGACGCATCTGAGAGCTGTACTCCACGGTCACCCTTCGCAAACTGTCACTTGCCCATAGTTTCACATTTTTGTCATATCTGCACTCAGCTTGCCCCGTTATTTTTGCACTGTCTTTGAAAACTAGACTCATTTTTATTTACTGAAATACATTTTATTTTAACATCTGTGAAATCAACTGTTTGATGTGCTACTTTTTTTTTTTTTTTCCATTCACCTGACAGTAAACGCGGATCTATTAGTAAGAGACATTCCACGGTGGTGATGGTGTATGCGCCATCCCAGGAAACACTGGTTGGCTGTATTGCATTTGGCAGTCCGGCCTAGATTCTGTCCGGAGGATGAATTTATCAGATTTGCTGAATGAATGCACAATGCCAGGTCCCGTTCACGCGCACACACATGAGTAGGCTCACACTCGTGAAGGAGTCCATATTCTTTAGAGTTTATAGCCTTTTACTGTGACTGTGGGGCTTGGAAGGAATAAGGTCACAGAAAGAAGCTAATACTGTATTGGAGCTGTCTTCACAAGCCCTTGGGGGCCAGGGATCGCCCGCATGGTAGGATGAGTAAATGTTATGGATACTCTCCTCTGCTTCTCCAGATCCAGAGTCCACTTTCCTCGACACAGCTATGTGCTGAATGAAGCTGTTTTGTCTGGAGTATAGCAATGATTCTTTTGCCTTCTGGCTTTAAAAGATTTATTATTATTACTATTTTGAGTCAGCCATGGGGGAAAAACGAGAGGGAGGTAGCAGGTCAATATCAGGATGAGCATTACCGATTCTTCCTTTTGCCTTGGGCTCCAGTGTAGTTCCACATGGCATGGTTACTGGCCTGCCTTTATATAAAATGTGAACACTTGGTTCATTATAAATTTTTGGCATTATTTTTTTATTTTTAAAAAATACTGCATTAATATTATTTTATCTTGGGTACTGACTCTTTTGATGCCCACTTAAATTCTGTGCCCAAGGTAAGTGCCTCACCTGTCTCTCCCTAGTCCCAGCTGGTCAGGGTCTTTTTGGCCCCAGGGTTTCCTCCTTGTGGTCCTCTATCTAGCAGAGGCATGCCTGTCTGTCTCAGCAGCTGGCTCTCCCAGCTCTCTCTGTGCTTCCATTCACTCTTCTCTCCCCTCAGTGTTCAGGGGGTAACATTCTTGCTAGCTTCTGCGCCCACCTTGTTGGTTTTCCTAAATACTGCTTATGCTTTTGCAAACAGTCTGTTTGTTATATTTTCTTTAATCACCCACTGCGAGCAGGCCATCTGCTTCTTCTCAGGCCTCTGATAGTCAGATAAATACCAACACACATCTTATGAACTAATACACATTTTTAAAAATTTTGTTTTTGAACACTTTCATAAGGCTCTTACTGACAGATATTTATGGGAGAGCCATATTTATTATTCAATTAATAATAATTGATTATTATTAACAATTAATTAATTCATTGGTTAGATTTTAGAATATAGAACGTAGTTTATCCAGAGAAGATGGGAGAGGAGGATTGAGGATGAAGAAATTTTATTTCGGCTAAAAAAAAAAAAGTTTATCTCTTGGTGTTTGGCACCATCCATGTGTATTTACAGCGAAACAAGATTTTAAAGACTCAGATAAAGTAGCTGGATGGTAGCATACAGAGAACAGTGTCTCTTATCCCCTTTGTAAAAAATTTCTAGGGCATTTTATACCAGGTTCCACTTTATACCAAGTGCGTCTCCACTCTGAACGTGCCTACCTTCACGCTGACACTTCCTTGGACTTTGAGCTGCAGTCTGATCATGTCCACCTCGTCCATCGTGCAAAGCTGGTTAAGCTCAGAAACTTTCTTGGACATCTCATCAATCGCCACTTCGATAGGATTCAGTTCTGTGCTCGACTGGCTTATGACTTGTATTCTCTTCTTCACATATGGGAACAAGTGACTCGCTGCACAAAAGCAATGCAGGAGAATGTAAAGGTTGAGGGTTAGTGAGTCCGGGGTGCCCCTGAAGGTCTAGACGATATTCTTTTTTTTTTTTTTTGCACACAGCACCTTCCACCCTGCATGGTTTCTGTATATGTGAGTTATTTTCCTCCAGTGTATCATGGTGTCTCACATCTCTTAGCTTTGGGCCCAGCTACTGTCGCCTGGCTTGCTTTTCCACATTCAGCTAGCCAACAAATCCTCATCTCTGGGCTGGGTTAAGGCCTTTCGAGTCTCAAAACACTGGAAAGATTATAGCTCCGCCCCCCACTTATAATTCAAATAAAAACAATACTAAACCACACTAAATAATGCTTAAATGTATACTCAATAGCTTATAATATAATAGCTTTGTTCTAACTTTTTGATGATAAATGTTCTGGAAGAGTTTACCGAAGATGAATGTTTCCTATGATTTGGGTCACTGCTATTCTTGTATCTATGGCACAATCCAGGACTGCTCATCTCTCAAGATTCATCCAGAACACCTTTGCTCATCTTTCTCTTTGGTCTGCTTTAGGAGCCCCCCTACCCCACCCCAGGCCGATTTCCCATGCCTTCCCATTTTCTTTCTCATGCTATGCTCACCTGGATTTCTTGCTTTACTTGGCTTTCTCCTACCAGACCATGACCACCTTGAGAGCAAGACTCGTGGTTCATTTATTTAAATTCCCAGAAGAGTGCCCAGCACCTCGCAGGCCCTCATGGCATGTTTGCTGAATGCGCGAAAGGAGGACTAGCTCATAGAACAGATCTAGACGGTATTGGAAGGGATGTGGGAGGTCATCCCCTGCCTTCAGTTTACACACGAGAAGCCTGAATTCCAGAGTGGTTTAGAAGCTGGCCCCAAAGCACACAATTCTGTGAGCTGCTAACCCTGAAATAACTAGGGGCAGGCTCGGGGAGAGAGCAGCGGGAAGTTCCCAGGACGCGGACACCATGACCTTAACGGTGGGAACGTCTAAAGGGAAGAGGTGCATCAAGTAACTCTACTGAGAATGTCTCTTCTCGACTTCCCAAGGGAGGGGAAAGCAGGGCTTCCCGGCAAACATTTCTGTTAGCAAGTCCTGGGTACTGTCGGCCAGCCTGAAACCCTGCGAGAGCCAGTAGGCCCGCGGAAGAGAGGGATGCGCACGGCGGCCGGCACTTACTGGTCAGGACCGTGCGCCGCTTGCATTGCTCCTCCACCCCGCCGTGCTTCTTGCCCGACAGTGTGAAGGGCGTCTCGAAGACGAAGCGGTTGATGTTGTGGTGCATTTCGAAATCCGTCTTCCGGTCCTCGATTTCCTTTTCCTCAAAGAACGGCGTGACATAGGTCACCTGGATGTAGGCATACTTGGGGTCCAAATCCTTGGGGTTTACCTGGGTTAACACATTATGCAGGAAGAAGGAGTGGTGAGCCCCAGGTGCTCCTGGAAGCAAGCAGGAAGCTCTGCGTTCCCCCAGCTGGCATCCCGAGGGGCCTGTCCCTGTTCCCTTGGGGAAAGATAGGCGATCGGATCATTTCAGAGCTGGGTGAACTGAAGCGACAGGAAGGGGAACTTGGCTGGACCCTGGTCAAGATGGCGGCAGAGGTAGGATTGGAGCCAGCCCTCCAAGGAGCTGAGGTTCTTGGAAACCTAAGTACCTGCCTAGGGCATATCATTTAATCTTTGATCTTCTTTCTCTTGGAATGAATGCCCCTTACCTTTGTCTAGAATACAAGCTTCTTGAGAGTAGAAATATATCTCTTAGGTTGCTGGAGTGGTGGGGGGTGGGAGAGATGGGGTGGCTGGGTGATAGACATTGGGGAGGGTATGTGCTATGGTGAGCGCTGTGAATTGTGTAAGACTGTGAATCACCGACCTGTACCTCTGAAACAAATAATACATTATATGTTAAAAAGAGAAGAAGAAGATAGCAGGAAGGGAAAAATGAAGGGGGGGAATCGGAGGGGGAGACGAACCATGAGAGACTATGGACTCTGAGAAACAAACTGAGGGTTCTAGAGGGGAGGGGGTTGGGGGGTGGGTTAGCCTGGTGATGGGTATTAAGGAGGGCACGTACTGCATGGAGCACTGGGTGTTATACGCAAACAATGAATCATGGAACACTACATCAAAAACTAATGATGTAATGTATGGTGATTAACACAACCTAATAAAAAAAAGTATTTTGAAACAAGTATTAAAAAAAAAAAGAGATATATCTCTTGGTCCCTCTACAATTCAGCCTTGTATCTAGACTGGGGCCATGGGCTCTGGGCTTGTAATGTGGAAGGAGGTTCTTTGTCTGTTTAGGGGATTAAGTGATTTGCCTATCTAATGAGTGCCAATATCTTTATGTTCAGTTTTTCTAATTCTTTTATCTGCAATAAATCATCCTAGATAGTTTCTTTACTAACTCTGCTTTGGTGAAGATGCTTCTCAAACAGCAAGGAAGGCAGGTTGGGGTCCCCAAGAACACCCAGGGAATGGCTCTTGCTGTTTTTCAAGGGTGGAAGAGATGAGACTCAGCCTCTTTTCTAATGATTTCTGGAAGAATTTTCCAACTTCCTCCAGCTTTCTCCATCTGTTTACCCACTCACTGCCTATCTGATTCCAGAGATTTGAGGAAGCTCGAGAACTTCTTTGTAATGCTCCTAAAAATTATACTGTAAGATGATTGTAGATAGAGGCACTGTAGATGAATACATTGTAAGATAATTGTAACCACTTTACGGATTTAAAAAAACAAAAAGAAAGGAGATTCAGAGTGGCCACTCAGTTTCTCCAAGAGGGATCACCAGCTGATAGGTGGTATTCTGGTGGAATGAAGACTCCAGTGGTCTGACACCAAATTCGACATTTTTCTCATCCCACTAGGAACTCTGTGCTTCCTATTTAGGAGAGCCACCGTGAGGGTGGTTCCAGTTCTGTCCACCTTCATGGGGAAGGGGATTGTACCTTTCCAGCTAAGGGGGAGAATGATGAGCACATTGTCACAACTTCTGCCCAGGCCCAGCAGTCTCAGGCCCAGACCCCTCCAAATACGAATTACGTAAAAGAGGACAGGGGAAAAAGACCTTTTCTTTTGTGGCCAGGAGCAGCCTATGCTCTTGGTCACAAATCAGCTTTTCTGGCTCCCTCGCTCTGCCACCCTCTTCTATCCAACCTGTGTTTCTAAGATCTGCCACGCTCTGAACACACCTCCCCCTTTCATTCCTCCTTGGCATCGCCTGTGCTGAGCTTCTCAGAACGCCCTTTGCTTCCAGCAAACACCTTCTCACTCTGCAATTCCCAGAGCAAACATTCTCTGTGGAGCATTGCCCAGCCAAGAATGAGCTGTTCAGGGAGCCCTGAGCTTTCTCCGTGTGACTTGGACCATGTCTCCTGTGGTACTTCACTGGACTCTATTTAATTAACTGTTTGCATGTATCCTTCTCTTCTTTTTCTTTTTTTTTTTTTTTAAGATTATTTATTTATTTGAGAGAGAGAGCAGAATGAGCAAGAGAGAACATGAGTGGGGGGTGGGCAGAGGAAGAGGGAGAAGCAGGCTCCCCGCTAAGCAGGGGGCCCACGCGGAGATCATGACCTGAGACCAAGGCAGACGCTTAACCGACTGAACCACCCAGGTGTCCTGTATCCTTCTCTTCTTAACCCCATGTGAACTATGAGCTCTGAAAGGAAGAGACTCCATGTGTTCTAGCTCCTAGTTCTGGGCCTGGCATGCAGTAGGTACTTGATAAAAGTTGGCTAAATGAATGAAAGCATATTAGAAGATTTGCAGTAATCTAACCAGAGGATGTAAGTCCTTGCTTCATGGAGCCATGAGGAAGTAAAATAAATGTTCGCAGGTTAATACAAGTCTGCCACTGTCACAGAGGACAATTTTAAAATTGGTATGACTCCTGAAGGCCTCCGTGACTGAATAAGTATGTTTTGCTGTTTCTTCCAACTCCAACATTGGGCCCAGTAGCTTTAACCCTTACATTGCTATTCAAATGCAAATAACCTATGGCAGAAGTGGAGAATTCAGTAAATTGTTTCTAAGATTACCTAAAAGTTACTCGAATAAACATGTATAACTTCATTGATAAAAGAAAAAGAAATCACTAATCAACCAGCCAATAAACAAACAAACAAAACATCCAAAATAGTTGAGGTGCTTTACTTTGCACAGTCAGGCAGAAAATGAAAACTTTAACAAATATAGTTAAAAAATAAAAAAAATTAAGTCAATTCCTCACATTTGCGTAAATACTGATTTTCCTTTACCTTGTTGGAATCCTGGATTATCTTCACATTGTCTGCTCCGAATTTATCTGCATAGAGCTTGAGTAGTCTTTGGGAAATCTCAGAGAGGCCTGTCAGCTTAGGCTCTTTATAAATATACTCTTTACCTTCCTCCTCTTCAAAAAAGCCCTATGGGAGAGACGTAAGGAACCACCAACTTTATCAGGGAACTCGAATTGCAAATCACAAACAAAACAAAAACTCTTTACTTAAACAATACATCCAGTCTCTCGTCATCCAAGCCATTGATTAGCACCCTATAAAATTCACAATCAGAGAAAATGTCAAGTAAAGAAAACAAAATCTCATGTTAGAATCAGTCATTAATGGAACACTCCCAACCAGGCCAAAGACCCTTATGAGATAATCTCACACATATTTTCTGTTTGTAGAAATCAGTGGTAAGACCTGCTTGCGTATATTTTGGGAGAAGAATGCCCTCATGTGGCAGCCTGGGGTAGAACACAGAGTCTGGAGTAATTTTTGGCCTTTTTAAATAAGGTTTTCTGCACGTCTTTGAAACTAGCACAGGAAAGTCTGCATGTCATGTAAAGGTATCTAGAGCTATGCATTGCTATGCATCCCGCATCGTGTTAGATGTGAAGGCACCATACTTTGGATCGTTGTCACCACGGAAATGACATATGGTATGCTCCCAAATACTGCTATTTTAAAAATAACTGTAATATGTCTTCAGAGGCCCGATGCAACCATATGCAATTTCATCACTCAGTTGATTTTACTAATAGATCTTTTACATTTTTGCAAAGCTAGGATTGGGATTGAAAATAATAACCATGCCATCATTTTTACGCCACAGGAGCAAATAGGTTTTAGCCTCTGCTAATTGTAGTTGTCTGATTTGAAACCAGGGGAAGGTAGGATTCTATTATCTGAGGATAACTCAGTGAGGCAGTCTTCATAACTCCTTCTTTTTGAAGAGACACAAATGCATCTTTCCTGTGGAATACTTGTGAACTCAGAATACTAGATGAAGTCGGGAGCTAAGAACCCAAGCACATACGGTTTTCTCCTGGCTGCAGAATTTGCCTCATGAAAACAGTTTCGAGGGCCAGGTGAAGATTCTGGAGGTCAGAAAGAATCTTAGCTATACTTTTTTTTTTGTTTTTATCACTTGTGACTAAAAAAAAATATTCATTATATGTAAAAAAAAAACATGGATAAAGTGCTCTAATCCTATCTTGTTGGCTCATGTGAGGTGATCTAAGAATAATGATCAAAAGGCACATCTGTATGGGGCCTTATACTTGCAAAGTATAAGGTGTGACCACTGCGAGCAGCGTACTTTCTATCATAAGTGGGCGCAACTGAAGACAACAAACAAGGCACGTTCATCAGCACAGGTCTTGTCAAGCAGGTGGTTGCCTGTTTCCTCGCGCATTTCCTAAATCGACTTTGGGCTTTTTAAAGACGGAGAAGGGTCTTTGTCCAACAACACATATTCAGTGTTTAACACAGTGCTGGTCTTTAGGAACTTCACTCTACATTTGTCGAATGAATACACAGATGAATGGAATAGTTCTCAGAGGGCACACATCTTAAAAGGGTATATTTGCACCAGGTAGAACTGGAAAAGGTTCCACGGATTTTAATCAAGATTTTTTATTGAACAATTTCTTTGAGAATGTTCAAGACCAAACACAGCTGAATATACGAGTGCCCTGACCCCAAACTGCTTGAAGAAGTGACTTGGAGTGTCGAGAGCATGAAAAGCAGCTTGCTGTCACTCCTCAAGCCTTGGTAGGGCTAAATGAGGTCTGGCTCCGTTCCCACAGGACTTCCTGCCTGCCGTGATTTTTCCGTTGCTGCCTTTGTGAAGATTTGTCTGATTCAAGGTCAGAAGTTAGTGGCTAAAATTGACAGACTGACACATGAGAGAGAGACACGGCTTCTGAGGGCATCAACCAGAACCCCCACAGGGCAAGAGCCGTAGCAACATTTACAACTTCCTTTTCGATAAGAAAAACGTCTCCAAGTTCCAGGAAAAGATTTTCTCACCACACTGTGAAAACGAGCACAAAGAGACATTTCGCTGCGAATTTTTTCCTCTCACAAATTTCTGAATCCAGGGTTAGCAGAAAAGGAGAGGTGGGAAGCAGGATTTTCTTGTCATTATTATGACGGCGTGGCCTTGGTCATGAGCCATGACCTTCTTTCATCCCTGCTCCTTGATCTGGAGGATGGGAAATAGTAGAGACTCAGAAATCTAGTGGGAGACCCCAAGAACAGTGCCTGGCACACAGTGGGCCCTTGGTGCGTGTTAGCTGTGACGAGGAGGAGAGCAATAAAGAACATTCTGTGTCACTAGAACGATCTGAGCTCTGACTAACGTGCAGGGAAACAGCTTAACTGAGTGCTGAAGATTACATACCTTCAGTTCCTCTCCCACAGACACTACAATTTTCCTTATTATAAAAGGTCTACTGATGTTGATTTCAGTATTTTGGCAAGTGATTGGTCAGAAAGAAATTGTGATTATTTATCTAGGTAGCCTGGAAATATCAACCTGTTGGGACTATTTTCTAAAATAAGGAGGAAGGAGCTGGAGTAGCAGAATTAAAAATTTACTCGGCTGTCTTCCAGGGATCGTGTAAGAGCTTTGGGAGCCAGATCAATGGCAGCTCTGAAAATATTTGGAATATGCGCCTACCTTTTACCCAGGGAAACTATCAAAGCATAGCCCACTGAGCCACAGGACATTGTCTTAAGTTTTCAATTTCAGCTCTGTCTATGAAATAAATGATTTATAACTAGGGATCCAGGTGATGAAAATCCAGGGGCAGTTTCTGTTTTATTTTAGCCCCAAGGTTATGAGTAGACTGCATTTCAAAGCAATGGGAGATGTGCATTTCCCTTGCTAGTTTGGTTTTCTAAATGTCACTGTACAATGTGATAAATGTTTTGATCAGTCATCGTTTGGAATTAGCACATATTCTAGTTAAACAAGGACTTTGAATCAGTAGAGTTAACATGCACAGATTATGGAACTGGAAGGCAATAGATTATGATAAAAATGCACTTCAGTAAACTGACAACTAAAATCATTGACTCCTTCTTAGATATTTTTGCAGGTTTTTGCAATGCCCCTGAATCATTATTGGGATGTCAAATACAGGGGCCCCTGCCACTATACTTAAGTAATTCGAAATTCACAAACAAAGGAATGCATCCAAGGAGGAACCTTGTGTATAAATGTGGGTCAGAAAGTGTTAATAATGGGCTAAATACTAAGAGAAGAGAAGAGAAGAGAAGCTACAAGAATGCAGAGAAACGTTATATGATTTATATTTTCATATAAATATAAACCTTTCTTTCTATACATAATTTGTATACTCATTATATGTATTGAAATATATATATTTTATATCAATGATTTTCATATAGGTGGGGAGCCAGAAGGATGTATCACAACCCAGAATGGAGAAGGGTTTTTTTTAAACTACACATACACCTTCCCTCCTCCTCTTAATCTCTTTTCTATCAAGATTCTGAGATATATCTACACCCATGTAGGCATGACTGAGAATCATGGACTCGATATCCTTTGGTCAACAGAAGAAAATTTCCTCCAGCCTTTCATTTATTCATTCCAAGAGCATCTGATGTTTTAAGTTATGCAATTGGCATTCACTTGCTTCCTTACATGCTAAATATCAGAGCCTAAGTATTTCATTGATTACAGCTGATGTTTGATCACTACTGTTGTTTCATCACTGTGGAAATGAATACTTGAGGGACACTTTGGAGGGTGCTATATATAGGCTGCTCTGTGTAAAATTCTTTCTATAATCAATGATGCCAGGTATCGCATTAGAAAATTCACACTATGCAAGACTTGCATTTTTAAAGCTCCTGCCATGAAAGAACAGTTTCCAGCCTGTTTTCTGTTGTCTGGCTCATTCAGACATAATATTAACTACTCCTGCCAATACTATGTAATGAAAGCACTATGCACACGGGACACTAAAATATTTACCCAAGGCCTTGTGGAGGCAAAGAGCCTACTGCATATTATATTCCCATGATCTTTGCAACATGATTGCGAGACATGCCAACTTGGATATTAAAGGATGAATTTCACAGAGGCATAACATCATGAAAAAGAAATTATTTCTGACTATGGGGATTATGCTAATCAAGTAATTAAGACTTTATCTTAGATCTTTGGAACCTTCATTCTGCACACATTCAGGGAAATGTTCAAATCTAGTTGGTATTTCTTTATCATCAAGTGTAAAGTGATGTGCACCATCTGCTCCTGTTGCATACTGTAGTTCACACTTTCCATTTGGTGTTCTGGGACAGGTATTTGAATTTCATTTGATGACTGAGGCTCTAAATGGCTGTGTAGGTTAGTTGACCCCCGTTAGTTTTTGTTCAAAGGAGGCTGGGGTTTGAGCTTATAAAGTACCATGCCTAGGCTTGTACTCAGGTCTGCAGATTTAACAAAACACTTTTAAGCTTAGGTTGGAATTTTTAATAAATGACAATCGAGAATACTGGCGGCATGTTAAAAAAAAAAAAAAGCCAAGTGCACAATCAGCACACGTTATTGAGAAATCTGCAAAAAAACCAAAGTTAGGTCATTTGAAAGTAGCTCTTCCCAGTTCTTCCCCCTCGCCCCCCACTCAGTCTATTTAGTACGAGGGTTTTCAAGTATTCTTTTAGTAGGTGAGTTAGGGACCCATGACTCGCATTTTGTAAATGAAGGTAGAAAATCCTGGTGTGGACATGGAGAGGGATTAAAGAATTACAAAAAAGTATGTAGTGGTCAGATGAGCAGAACCGAATGGACAAATAATGTGTGGATAATGAAGGAATTTGTCTTTCCAGCTTAATCAGCAATAATTATGTTGACTTATTGGTGAATCATTTTTGTAGATAAAAAATGACTGAATATAGGCACTTTCACATGGTTCACAAAAGGAAGAAAATTCTTCTGTGTCACAGAGCTCTAGGCACCGGGACGTTATTTCTGCCTTTGCTGGTTTTCCAACATTTCTTATATCAGTTCTTTCTGCATCTTTAGGAGACTTAATCTGCCCTACGGAGTCATGCTTTAGTCCACTGGTCATCTTTTGCGTTGAGCATTAAGACCATCACCACTGAGAAAGCTCAGAGCTTGCCACCAGAGAGAGCCCTGTTTCTCCACAATACATATGTGGAAAGGAGCAAGGTCCTTTCAGGAGCCTGGGAAGGTGTCCATCGATGGCCACTACTCCAACTTCTAAAAATCTGACCACCGTGCCCTTCTTAATCAGCTGCAATTCCCAGTGGTCTGAAATGAGCAGACAATCTCTAATACTAAGCCTACTCTTCACGTACTGCAAATATGTGGTGCTCATATTTATCTGACTGTGTGCACAAGGGTAAGTGTGTTTATGTAGGTTTTCAAACCACATTTACCTTTGTGTAGAATGATAATATACGTGAAAAGTAAATGATACATTTTTGTAATTCAGATAACTGGAATAAATACAATTTAGTTCAAGAAATGCAGGATGACGCCCAAATGAAGGTAAGCAGGATAATCTCACCTTTGTACCAAATGTTGATTTGTACACAAAAAGTTAAGGTTCAGTACACCATACGGAGGGAAGTGTGAGGATTATTAGAGCATGCAAACAGAGAGGGAGAGAAAACTTACCACAGCCTGGAACCATCAAGACCAAAAGAAGAAAAGAGTAAACATCCACATTAAAATCTGGTAGGAAAGCAGTAGGGTTTGTTTCTACCTGTTTAGTATCCCTATATTAGAGACCGGCTGGAGAAACCATCAGGTGGGCAATCTCACTTTCAAGACCGGGCTATTCATGGCAGCTTATTACTTTTTTCATTGGGAGGATAGCCTGAAGGATTGTAGATTTGAATCTTGGTTGGCTGAGTAACCATCTTGTGTGTCTCTTCTCTGGGTCTCAGTTAGTCTGCGGCCATTTCCCTAAAACCCTGTCTTTTCCCCTGCCATCCCTCAATGCCCACATTCCCTTCCCAATGGGGTGTTCTGCCGTTTTTCCTGCTAATGTTTTATCAAGGGCAAATATTGCTTCTTTTCTTCATGATGTTCAAGATACCATTCCCTATCTTCCTCCTCCTCCCCTGAATATTCCCTCATTTTCTCCCCGAAATGTACACTACCACTTCAAATAGTTCCGATTCTTTTCCTGGGACCCCACACATGTCTACATTTAGTCTCTATCTGTGGACCGTCTCTACCCGCTTTGGCTATCTCTGCAATCCTGGTGCAGCAGTGCACATAGGAAAATCTCAGTTGGATTAATTTGTTTATGGTAAGTGGCTAATGGGTGACACTTTTCTTTCCAGGTAGAGAGCAGCTAATCTTTATTAATTCGGAAGTTAGTTTTTAAGCTGCCTTTGGCTATTAGGGGAAAATAGGTATTTTTCAGAAGACTTTAATGGGAAATAATCTAGAATGACCATGCTGGATTTGACTTCTTCAGCTGCCGCCTTCAAACATTCCGAGGAGAAAAAGAAGCTATTGGCAATACTGCTTTATGTGAGTGAGGGCAAGGAAGGGAAATGAGAGAAAACGAGAGGGATTCCAACTATGAAAATAAAAGGATGAAATGTTCATGCACACAAGTCAGAGTCCGAGGTATGCTGCTGAAATAATGCCTGGGTTTGCTCCACCTAAAGCGCTGCTCAGAGACATTCATAATTAATATAGAATATGTTCACTTAATTTTCCAGCTAATGCTATGGCTTGCTCATATTATTATTCTGGTTCACTGCTAAGGTGGGAAGCTGGGAAAGATAACAGACAGTTATACTGACTCACAACACAGGGGGAAAATATAACATACGGCATTGTGCCTAGAATCAGTGGTAGTTTAGGAGGGGGAAAGAAAATGCGTGATTGTAAAGTCAAAGGGCTTTGACATGGTGGAGGCCCTAGGAAGTCTTTATTTCCCAGAATGCTGTGAATTTCATTTCTTAAAACATGTTCAATTTAATTTCACCTTAACATATGACCTTAAACTATAATTAGATATTTGGGGTTAACTGGGAAGAAGAGGATGCTGAAAAAGAAACGCTCTCTTTCTCCAAGAAGTTAGAAATCACTGGTTTACCTCAATTTGTATTAAGACCCCTAGATTTCTCTGCCCCTTTGTTCCCCAGTTCACTACATTCCCATGGACAAACATACGACTCTCACATCCAGAAAAACCCTCAAATATACCCAGACACACCCACATCCTCTTAATCCCTTGCCATGTGGAGTTTGATGTCTCATAGAGAACGAAAGACAGTTTCATTGTTTAACAGAATGTAGAGGCCACATAGCTTCTGGTGAACTTACCTGCCCATAAAATGCTACACGATAGTAGCGACCAAACAGCCGCTTCTCTGAGTTGACCACCTCTGCAACTTTTAGATATGATCGATGAATGTCATAGTAGAGATCTGATAATTTCTGAAACCATAAATCAAAGGGTTTCATGAAGGTGATGCTGACACAGAAAACAGGGAGTTTTCCCTTTTGAAAATTATAAGTAATTCACCAATTTAAAGCAGGATGTTTTGACCAAGCTCAGGGCTCAGGAAACGTACTTTGAAGTCTCTCTGCTTCTCGAAGACAGCAATGATGGGTTTGTTGACATCAGCGATGAGTTCGTATCGCTCAGACTTCCAAAGAAACTCCACACACATGTAGAGCTGCTCCACCAGGATATTCTGCAATCCCCCAAATCAAATGAGATTTTACATGACTGTGTAAATATGGTGTACTCATTGTGGTTCATCCCTAAAACTTGTTTTCAAAACTGTTACACTGTCAGTTTTCTTTATAGTGGGGTTTCTGTGTTCCCTGTCTTTGTTCTTGGCATTTACACTCATCCTGGAAGCGATGGTGGGGTCTTCTTGGATTCTTCTCTTTCCATCACCAAATTAGTCCTTCAGACTTGCTAATTTGAATCTATGAAATGCCTTCAGCTCTGTCTAGTCCTTTCCATTTTTATGGTCACTGCCTTAGATCAAACCCCTGTTCCTTCACCTCCAGACCCCATAGTGGTCTTCTAGTAATCTGTTTTCCTTCTGGTCCATCTTATGTGCTGTTCTCCAGGAATCCTTCTTTCTAAAATGTAAATCTGGTCATGAGCTCTCCACTGCCCTAAACCTTTGTAGGAACTCCAGTGTCTCTGAACGGCCATCCAAACTCTCTAGCACGACATTGAAGGAGCTCCATGATTAGGCACCAACCTCCCTTTCAGTGCCCCCACCCCTTGTCACTGACTTTGCACTTTGGGTACCCCATCCTGTACCACTCCACTCTCAGAATACTTTTATACCTCCACACATTTACCTGTATGTGGCTACACCTATAAGAACCTTCAAGTCTCATCAATGGCAAGATCCAGTGCAAAAGCCTGGAGAGCTTTCATATATGTCCCATCCATCTACATCCCAACCACTGTCACTTATTTAGTTGTTTCCTTTTAATTGCCTAGATTTATACTTGTTGGGTCTTAGACTGGCTACTCTCCACCCTGAAAAAAGTTTGTCCTTCTCAAGATTCTAAACTCTTTGAAAGTCAGAATTATGTCTTATTTACCTTTGTCCTCCATCCTGAACTCAATGCCTCACATATATTAGTGGTTTAATAAATATTCAGCTGAATCAAATTATATACTCACCAAAAAAAGTGGATAATATTGTTGGAATCTTTTCAACAATGTCTTTGAAGAAAAGATTCTTAAACGTTATTTGAAATAGTTAACATAATAAATATGTACCTGAATTTACTGTTTATTTGCAAGGTATACTAAATTAATATAAATCATATATAAAATTTAATTAAAATTGGCCCCCAGATTTGCTTTCTGCATCCCTTTTTTTCAATCTACATAACATTAAGATTTAAACAGTTAGCTTATGAAATATTTTATTTACTTGAGGGAGCTGTTTTCTTTATCAGAATTATTGTTATGTAATTGCCACTAGAAAGCTTCTTTAGATTAATGAAAAATAACCATGGTTTGCAAATCAAAAGATTTTTTGCAGAAATTAGTGAGCCTTTCTGTTCAAGTGCATTTACAAACAAACTTTCTAATGCATTAAAAAAAGTTGTGACCAGCTCACAAAATTTTCAGCATCCCTTATGATGTTTACCAAAGGACTAATGATTTCATATCTTATAGAAGAGCTGACATTATATATTTGGGAAGTATTATATATATATAGACATTATATAAATAGAGAAGTAAAGTTTAGTTTAAATATTCATTGAAAATTATGCTTTATCAATGGAATTTGAGATCTATTAATCTCAGCTTTTTAGCCTGTCTTTCATTTACCCTAAGTCCTATTCTACAGTAATTTTATTTGATTTATGAATAAGATCTTCTCCTCCATCTTTAGCTTAATGTTAACAGTTCAATGCATCTTTTTACTCAGTTACTGTACACTAGATTATATGGATCTAACCTCATTGTATGGTGTGTCTTGCATTCCTGAATCTTCTTTCATTGCTCCTTCTTCTTTAATATTTGGTGTAATGCTCAGAAAAGCTGGCCAGCCCATAGAGAACATGCCTTGAGAGGACCAAACAAAATGAGACATTATTATTTGAGCCAAATCCTGTTTGGAACAGATAATGTCTTTCTTTATGATGTTACAAGTGGTAGTACAATAAAACTCACATAGTCAACGAGATGGGTATATAATGACTGTTGATAAATATTCTCTCCCAGGGCAACCAATGATCCTGTTCTCTAATTTTGTATCATTTTTCAAGTGACACATTTTCTTTTAGAATGTGGCACAGAATTATGGACAGAATACAGAATTTGTAGGTAGACATGGTTCCAGTGTTTTAATTTGGCCAGACTCTTTGAGCCTGTTTCTTCCCATTTGTTAAACTGAAGATGTTAATATCTATTTCAAAGGATAGTTGAAAGAATTCAATACATTAATATTTGAGAAAACACCTGGTATGGTCAGTGCATTATGGAAACAATGTTCATTCCTTGCCAATTTTCACTCTTTTGCATTATCTAAATTTTCCTAGCACTGTGGCTACCAAGATAAAAATAAAAAGATCTGGCTCTACAGATAATATATAAAGACAGTTGATCATGGACAATGTCCCCAGAGGGAGGATTGGAACTGAATAGTAGAGAATTTGAGTAGTCAGGAGCACAGCTTGGGGTAACAGACCAGCCTTTGAACTTTGGCCCCATCACAAGCTTACCATGAACTCTGGGTCAGGTTGTATCACTTCTCTTGGTTTTCTCACTTGAAAACAGCACGCCATAATAGCACCTAACTCAAAGACTTATTACTGGCAACTAATCAAGATATTGCCAGCATAGAGTCTAGTGTGGGCCCTTACATGGAGCAAGTGCTTTTAAAATTATAGCTAATCCTGTTGTGAGATATTTTCATTTTTAATTATCAGCTCATGGGCTATGTAACTCAATGATCACTCCCCAAAAGTGCTTGAAATTATAATTAGGATAATTGTTGCAATCTAATCCTTGCATTAAAAAGTCTACTTTCCTACTTTTGAAAATAATAATATTACTTCTGTAATTAAACATATATTAATATATGACAATCGATTAGCAGGGATATATAGCAGAAAAAATCATTATATATTTTTTGCAGGATGATGGTCATTATTACTGTTGTATTTTCTGGAGTTGCTTATATTTGGTGATATTCTTATTAAGTGCACATTGTACTGAAGGGATACTTTATTCCTCTGACTTAGCAACATCATAATATAAAAGTATGCTGAGGACTTCAGATATATGCCAATGGATATGAATATATGTTAATGAATCATAAAAAATCACCTTCCTTAGAGTTTACTAAACAAATATATTCTTTTCTCAATGGGTGTGTTAGAGTCCAGTGTTACTTTAGGTCTGGAAGTGGGTATTTAACATTTTTTGAATATTAAGATTTCACACAATATTTTGGGATATAAGTTTCCATAATTTCTCAAACTGACCTCTAGTTTTATCAGGTTTTTTCAATTTTGTTTTTTGTTAGAATTTGAAATCATTTTTATGGAGCTGTACAGTGTCTGATTATGATACAAAATAGATGGGGAAGGAGGGTACATTAGACAAAACAGTGATGCGTTTGATGACGTGCATATAAAAATGAAGCTAAATTGTAAGTATGGAGCTAAGCAGGAAGATCCCTGAATTTTAGCGTGGACACGAGTCATCATGCCAGATCTGGTCTTCTCCTCAAACAAGTGACTTCCCTGTCTCACAGTTCACTTTGGTCATTTGGTTCAAATGCCTTATTTGCAAAATCCACTGAGAGTCTTTAGAAAATATATGCATATTTAAAAGAATAGGGATTAATTAAGTTTCCAAAATATTGTAACTAAAGTCCATTTACCTTTTGTTCAGTTATTTTGATTTTAATATTTAAAGATTTGTTTCTGTTTTTCATACACTGAGGTTTCCACTACACTTAATGCATCGCTGGCCATAACCTTTGGGTTTGAACAAACTTTTGCAAGAGAAAACAGGTTAAGTGGATTAGCTATATTGCCAAATGTTTTACAAAGAGTAATTCTTTAGGTATTGTTACAAAATCTTTCATCAAATTTTAAGGATGACATATTCTTAATTAAAGGAAATCAATACTGTAAATTATTATATGTTGTAAATTGTCTGAATCAGTTTATGCTTTTAAAAAAGGAAATGGAACATGTTCATTATAGAGTCCTGCATATATATTTCTGGCATTCCTTTTTTCAAATGAGTCGTCTTATTACATTTCAAAATTTAAATAGATTTCTCTTGCAATTTTAAACAATTTTAGAATAAAATCCCAAGGGCAAACTAGTATGCAGATTGGTAGCAAATATGGCCATGACTCAGAATCCTACATATTGGATAAGATGTAATTCTATGTGCTGAGAACTTTTCAGTTCTACACTTCATAAATTTGGGTAGATTTTGGAGTGGTAGGAGCTTCAAGCTTTTACAGTGGGAGTTATGAAGGTCTGAGATAGTTTTTGCTTCTAAGAATACATTTAAAAGTTTCATCAAAGTAGACTTTAAGCAGCAATGTGATTTCTTCTGTACTGTTCCATGGGGGTAAAGTTTATGTGGGAGAGTTAGGCCACTCACTTCCTCCACCAGGAGCTGTTAGTAATGGGTAGCTATCACAGGGGTGGATATCCTCCGGGAGCAGAGATGGTGTGCAAATCTTTTCCATTTTCCAGTAACCTATGGTAGTGCAAGATGAGGTTAAGACATTGCTACATGTTGGTGTTAATACAAGCTTATGAGACTCTAAATGATTAACCGATGAAACATTCTCATTTTGAACTAAGAGGTTGACCAGTTAGCCTTTTTGTACATAAAATAAACATGATAATGGCATGAGAGAGCTAAAATTTATAAGTACAGTATAATTAGAAATATCTGTGAAAATTAATGTTACTAAATAAAACATAACTGAGATTAATACAACCTAAAATTAATAAGTTAATTGTAATTTAGGTTTCAACACGTCAACTTCTAGACTTTTCTCCCTGCACATGGTCGTCTTACCCTTCCTTTTCAGGTATTCCGCAATGAGGGCAGCTATATGGATGTAGCACATAGCAGCCTGTAATAAAAAGGAAAACCGTTTCAGAGGAAGGCACAGTGTAGATTTTACTATTTGTCTAACCAGGACGAATCTTCCAAGGTGAGTCAGTATTCCATGTGAGAATATGTGGAGGAATCCTTTTAATGAAAGAATCAAAACCAAGAATAGATTTGATATCCAAAAAGTTCACAATCAAGAATAAAATTGTTTTGGGAATTTTTGTTTGTGTTTTTCTGGGAGTAGTCTTCAAGTGGGTGAATGAGCTGAATTGAAGAATTTTTCAATAGAACTACCTTCCTTCCTTAATATCTAAGTCTAATGTATATATTTTTAAAATCCACAATTTTCTTTTCTTGGTAAAACTACAAGCTACAGCATCAGGATCTAAATTGGGAGTAAAATTAAGCTACCGCCTTAGCTTTTCTCCTTCCAGTAATGGCCTCCTTTGAATATCTACTATTTTTAAGATGGTTGCTTCACAAGGTGGTACTTGATTAAATAGTGTGGCCTAATGTAACATGTGTGCTCCCGCCCAACCAGACTATATGGCGATTTTATTATTCTCTCTTATCTCCTGAAAAGCCTTGAACATTGCTGAACACGTACTAGAACTTGACCTGCTGAAGGGTCCAAATGACTTCAGCTTTTCCCTTTGAAGGTTGTGGAGTTATTTCTCCATTTTCTGGACCATCCAAGGGAACTGGAGTTTCTCATTCTTGTCCCACCAAAATGCCTCCAACTGAGGTTTCTAATTGGCTCTATTTCTATCCCAGGATCCCTCACATGCATTTAGAAGAACTTCAGGTGTTAGGACTATCCCAGATAAAACAATCTTTTCCCCAAAGGGGCGTATTTCTGAGAATAAGGCAGAAATTTCCCATTTGGTGTCCTGAAACCACTTGGGGGCTGTGAATTGCTGCATAAAAATCCACCTGGTGTTTGAACTGACATAAAAAAGTTAGCTATTGATCTATAACCTTCACACAATGCACTCGCCTCACATGGCTTGTGGGAGTGTTAATATTTCCATCCCCAGTTCAGACTAGCTGCAAATGAGGACAGATTACTGCAGCCTGAGATAACTCACCATGGTGGCAAACTTCCCCATCTGACTCCAATTACAGGGAAGACATTTTAAAACACAGAACATTAACTTATATAACTCAATTTCCAGACACCCTTACAACGATCCTCCTTAGTCTTAGGCTTTTAACCTTCAGTTCTGCATTGCATATCCTACAATTGCAGTTGATACCAACAACTCTGGCCTTGACTTGGTATTATTTACATGGAGTTGGGCATTCTTGTATCCTACATGCAAATTTAATGCACATCATATATAATTGGGTCATATCTAGATGAGTGGAAAAATATGGTATTCAACTGTAAATGAAAGTCCAATCGTCCTGATAAAGAGGAAAATGCCAATGGAGAAGGACTGAGCCTTCGCTAATCACCTCGGATAAGTCTCCATTTCTCGCGTGAATCTTGGCCATGCTTTCGAGCCAGGTCCTCCGGAGCTCAGGGGTGCTTGCATAGGAGTTTGCCAGGCTGTACTGGAGATCCACCAGCATCTCAGGGTCCTTCTCATGCTCCTTCATCTGAGCTGTCGCCATCAAAACCGTCCTTATACGTTTCGTCAGATCTTTCACCTCTGCTGGGAAGTTGCTGTTCTTTGGAAAACAGAGAGCCTGGGTCATTATCTGTTCCTAATTCCTAAGGTAGGTTACTTAAGTTATGCTTTTAATTATGGCTTGGCTTCACAGTTTGGTGCATTCTCTTTATTGTTCATAAATATGTACTTTATATATGATTCCATGTATTGATTGTGGTTGTACACATTTGAACATAAAAACCGCAGTGGACTCCATCTTATCTGCTCACCTAGCTTCTTTAGTAAGAGCATCCTGATTGTTCTTCGAGGTGCTCTCCTCTCTGGCTCTGGTTCATGTGATTTGAAAGGGTTTACCTCATTTGGAGGCACCAGCGGGTGGCCCACCAAACTGGCCTGGCCAATCAACTGGCCAAGCCAGTGATCGGTGTAGGAATGGGGATATGATACAAGGTTTAGACAAAGAGATTCAGGTCTGGGACTTTGATTGGCACTATAGAATGAAGTGCTTTTACTTTTCTATTCTTTTATTTTTTAAACAATTTTATTTATTTATTTGAGACTGAGAGATAGTATGAGCTGAGGGAGAGGGGGAGGGGCAGAAGGAGAGGGAGTAGCAGATTCTCTGCTGAGCAGGTAGCCCCACACAGGACTTGATCCCAGGACCCTGGGACCATGACCTGAGCTGAAGGCAGACACTTAGGCGGCTGTGCCACCCAGGTGCCCTGATGCACTTTTTTTCCATTTATAGGATAGTCCAGTGTCCTCAGAATTTCTGAGAGAGTAAGCTCATGGGGAGAGCCTACTTGTAAATGAAGTAAACGAAGAGGAATACTGAACTGAGAGATAGAGAGAGGCAAAAATCGAGGCAGTAGGGGAAGGGGGCCTGAAAACACGATGATTTTTTTAATTAAAAAAAACCTTCTTTACTAAAAATTTATTTCCAGTTTTATTCAGAAGTAACTGACATACATCACTGGATGAGTTTAAGGCATACAGCATGGTGGTTTGATTTATATATATTGTGAAATGAGTACCACAATTGGTTCAGCTCACATCCATCTCCCCATGTAGATGCAGTACAAGGGAAAGAAAGAAAAAAAGGAAAAAGGAAAAAAAAATTCCCCGTATGATGACAAATCAGGATTTTCTCTCTTAACAACTAACTTTTCTATATAGCAGGAACAGTGTTAGCTACAGTCATCATGTTGTACCTGACATCCCTAGTTCTTATCTATCTTACAACGAGAAGTTTGTACCTGTTGACCACCTTCCCCCAATTTCCCCACTCCCCACCCCCTGCCTCTGATAACCTCAAGTCTGGTTTCTTTTTCCACAATATTCAGGTTTTTTTTTGTTGTTGTTGTTGTTAAGGTTACACATATAAGTGAGATCATACAGTATTTGTCTTTGTCTGACTTATTTCACTTAACAATTCACAAAATTTCACTTTGGCTGACTTAATGCCTTCGATGTCCATCCATGTTGTCACAAATGCTAGGATTGCCTCAGTTTTTTTTTTTTTAAGATTTTATTTATTTATCTGACAGAGAGAGACATAGCGAGAGCAGGAACACAAGCAGGGGGAGTGGGAGAGGGAGAAGCAGGCTTCCCGCAGAGCGGGGAGCCCGATATCGGACTCGATCCCAGGACCCTGGGATCATGACCTGAGCCGAAGGCAGACGCTTAACGACTAAGCCACCCAGGCTCCCGGATTGCCTCAGTTTTTATGGCAGAATGCTATTCCATTGAATAAACACACCACAACTGCTTTATCCATTCACTCACTGATGGACCTTGTTTCCATGGCTTGGCTATTGTAAATAATGCTACTATGAATGTGGGGGTGCAGCTATCTTTTTGAATTAATGTGGAAACATTATTTTAATCCCTGGGTTGAGCCATGCCTGATGCCAGACTCTATCCCTGGACTTTCCAGTACTATGACTAAAGAGTCTTCAGAAACTTTTTTTTTTTAAGTCTTCAGAAATTTGTAAAAGAAAGATTCAAAAAATTTGACCAAGAATAGGATTATGAGAGAATCACTGTGTTTCTGGAGGTTTGTGGTTAGTTTTCTTGTTATATCCCATTCAAGCACACATCTTGCAAATTCCACTTAACGGATGACAGACTGACAGTGGTCAGAGCTGTTTGTTAATTCAAACAAGCAAACTCAACATTACACTCAGTTCAAGTCTCAACAAACAAAATACAAAACCTGTATTTTTTTATGATTTTGATATTTCACAAAATCATTCAGTTTAGTCTTATTCCTAAATCTTTGAACATGTCCACAAGGCATTTCTTACTTTCATCTGCTTGTCTCCATTAGCAAAATTATTGGTAATTGCAAGGGAATGTTGAAACCTAGAGCCTCCAATCCCAGCATCGGCTATCAACTGGCTTACGGCCTTGATGAGCTAGAAGAGAAAAGAACAATGAAACTTCAAAAATGGTAACTCAGAAATAATAATTTTAAAGAAATTACTGGATGAATGTATCATTGATTTCTCCCTGTGGGTCCAAGGTAGCATCTTCATGCATTAAATTTTTAGAAGGTCATGTCATCTAGGGCATTTCCTATAATTTAAAATATTTATATAAGAAGGTTGCAGGAATCTTGGGGTGCCTTAAAGAAACACATTTCTGCGTGCAGAATCTGGTGGGGTTTGGCATCCTAGAGATAGCCATGGTTTCCCGAGTCGTGTATTCTATTTGATTTTGTTCCCTGGCAGAAGAAAGGAAAAGTCCAAGTGGAGTTATGGGCTTTGCTGATTTCTGCCCAGCTGCCCTCTTCCTCTGAGTGAGAGTTGAGTGTGCTGAGTGTCTTTAAGGAGGGCTTTGGTAGAGGAGTTGGTAGCTCTTGCCCTGGGGCCAGGAGCCTTTTATCAGTGCTGGAACAGATGAGCGGTTTTCACAACAAATTACTGAAATTTGGCAGCACTTACTTGTAAGTGGGACCGGACAATTGACTTTTGCTTGTTAAATTCAAAATTCTTCCTCATGAAGAAGTACAGAAGTGCTGATGCTTCAGTCTGTGTTGACCGTGACCTGTGGTTACAGCATTTCAGGACTTCATAGCAGAACGATCCACACAGGTCGGCCGGCCCCTGAAAGAATGCTGAAGGAAACTATGGAAATAGAAGGACTGGTTAAGGGCCGACCATGCTTTCAAGTTGCTCTGTTTATGCCCAATTTTAGAATTCCTTAAAACACAATCCAACTTCTTTTTTTTTTTTTTTAACCTTGTCTTTTTCTTCCATTTGCAAGTGGAAGGGATAGAATTGTATTTATTTAAGTCTATATTAATATTTCTTTTTTTTTTTCCCAGAAATACTCATTCTCTACATGGTAAGACTCCCATGCATCAATAACCAATGACAAACCAGAACCAGGGACTGAGAGCTTTGAAATGTTTTCTATTGACCCAACATTGTAAAACCACAGGGATCCTCAAAGGTGGTAGCTCTGTCTATTTTAATGCGGCAACTTTACTTGGCATGAATGGACATCACAGTTGATGATGTGCATTTTACCTAACTCTCTGTTGCAAACATTGAGAACCCCCCAAAAAGATGGCTAGCTGTTAATTTTATTCCCTTTTGATATCCCAGCCGATAGGCTGTCAAGGCTGTGAACTTATTTTCAGACCATGAATCAAATGGCTTATTAAAACCCCAAAATAGTCTAATAAAACCACATAAACCAAAATTGAAGAAAACAAGCCTTCTTCCCTCCATACTGAGAGATGTCAGGATTAATATGTGTGTATCATCATCTTTCCCCGAGCTTTCACTGGAATCAGGAGAATGCTTACTTTGCATACAAACAGTCTCAAGGAGGCAAACACATGCTTCAGCGCTGTGGCTGACTGGTTGACTTGGAAAAAGAGCATGTAGGTGTCAAAGACCCTCTTCATCATTGAATTTTGACATTCAGATTGTTGGAGCTGTCTCTGGAAATTTAACACAGAAGTTATTTAGGATGAGTTAAAGGACAACTGCATTTTTTTCAAAGGATATTTATTGTGAACCTACTATGTGGTAGGCACAATTGTAGGCACTGGAAATAGTGCTGAATAAGGAGATAAGGTCTATGTTTCCCACTGAAACTTGCACAGCACTGATTGAAAAAATTACTAAATAAGAAAATAGAGCACAATGATAAGATATAATAAAAAGTAACTGCTTTGGGCATAGGGTTACTCTAGATAAGGCAGGTAGTCAAGACCTCTTTAATGGATGAACTGACATGTGAGCTAAAGGAATTGGCGATGGGCAGATCTGAAGGGACTAAGGAAAGAGAAACAGATAGTACTAGGGATATGAATTGGGAAGAAGCTTATGAGTTCAAGGTTGAAAAAAAAAAAAAGAGCAGAACAGCCTGAGCATGGGGCATGGGGTGAGATGAGGAGAGAGGTAGAAGATGAGGTCACAGATGAGATCAGAGAGGCAGGTCCTCGTAGGCATTGGTAGCGACTTTGTGATGTCTGAGATTTGACTGACATTTTCACTGAGTAATAAAGAATTAAAATACGGTTTTTGCTCTTTCTACTACCATGATGACATTTCACCTGAAAGCAGAGCTTTCTTGGCATAATCATTGTTTGGTGTAGACTTTATTCAGTGGATCCAACTATTCCTAGTTCAACCCTGAACATCTGTAAGCTCATTAGATTGAGCTAATATTTTAAATATCTCTATTGAGGTATAATTGACATGTAATTTCTATAGTTTGCATTTATAAAATTTTATGTAAATGGAAATATACAATACTCTTTCCGTTTGGCTTCTTTCACTATGCGTGATTGAGCAGTATTCTATTGTATGGATATACCACAATTCTTAAAATCCATTCACCTGTTGATGTACATTTGGGTTGTCTTCAGGGTTTATTAAAAATAAGGCTTCTATAAATATTTGTGTACACAGTTTTGTGTGACCAAATGCTTGTATTTCTCGTGGGTAAATTCTCAGTATTGGAATGGCTGGTCACATGATAGACACATGTTTAACGTTTTAGACTGCCATACTGTTTTCCAGAGTGTTTGCATTCCCACCATCAGTGGATGAGAGTTCCAGTTTTTCCATATCCTTGCCAAAAGTTGGTATGGTCAGTCTTTTTAAATGTAGTCATTCTAATAGTATGTAGTGGTATTATTTCACCAAAAGCACACAGATGACAAATAAGCACACGAAAATATGCTCAGCATTATTAGTCTGTTGGATCTAGCTGTCATTTGTCTCTCCCCTCGAGATTGAAAAGTAGAGTCACACTCTCCCTCAGCCTGGCTTGTCTGAGAGTGAAGCAGGAGGAATAAGGAAAAATGCTTATTATTTGACGATAGTGACATATGTATGTACATATATCATTTGAGCAGTAGTCAACTTCTGATAAATTCTGAATCTCATCTTTCGAATTTTTTTCCATTCACACTTAGGTTGATTTATGTAAGGTTACTTGATTTCATAAAACATGTTCTTGACTTCCCACAACTTTTCTTCCTCCCATTTTATCATGGTTGCAGAAGATGTTAGAATCAATTTACCTGGTGAATGTGGGTGAAGAGGGATAGCAGGTCTAGAATAGTCAGGCAAACCTCTGTAGCTATATTGGCCTCTGTGTCCACATGGTGCACAATGTCTATTTCATTGGAGTTGCCTACAAAATATAAGGTAGAACATGCATAAATGTCTAAGAAAACTCTTTGTATCTCATAAAGGACTTTCTTCTATTATAACATATTCAATGTTTATTAGTATTTTGATAAGCAATTTATTAAAGCACTTTTGTTTGTTCAATTACCTTATTGGCTAAATCAAAAACTCTATACAGAGTCTTTAGTGGATGCTATAGACTGAATGTTTGTGTCCCCCCAGATTCCTATGTTGGAGCACTAATCCCCAATGTGATGGTATTTGGAGGGGGGATCTTTGGGAGTAATTAGCTCATGAGGGTGGAGCCCTCATGAATGGATTAGTGCTCTTATAAAAAGGGACACCAGAAAGATCACCTTTCTCTGTCATGTGAGAACACAACATGTCTGCATGTCTGCAAACTAGGAAGAGGATTCTCACCAGACATCAAATCTATTAGGACCTTGACTTTAGACCTCCCACCCTTCCAGAACTATGAGAAATAAATGTTTGTTGTTTAAGCCACCCAGACTGTTAACTTGTCGTAGTAACTCAAACTGACTAAGACAGTGTGTGCGCCCTTTTCGTGTCAGCTGTAGACAAGAGTGATCCATTTGCCATTATTTCTTACTTCTTTTCCATTGATGTAGGCATTGACAGAGTCACATTTCTTTCATTCTCAGTCTGGGTCTAGTTTTATGCTCCCAGGCTAACAGACTAAATGTACAGTCTCTGTGGGCAGTGTGCATTAATGGCCATTAATGGCATTAAAGGTATTTATAGGTGAAGGCACATGCCTTCAAACAGGTAACTCTGGTCACATGCCCATGGTCACTAACACGTACACGGTACAAAACACTAGGTCCATTTTTCCTCATTCACAAGCTGAAATGTGTGCATCATTGTGTTCAAGATGTCACACTTACTGCTTCTGGGACATGGGCAACTTACTCCTCTTCCCGAAGAGCAGAAAGTAATAATCTGGTTGAGAGAGGCCCCCATAAGACTGACAATAGCAAAGTCACTTGATACCAGAGGAGCTACACCCAGCAGATTATCCTGAGCTATTTGCTTTTTTCCTTTCTTCCTTATAAGGACATTACATTTTTTAAACCACCTCTCTAGTGATTTTTTTTTTCCCTCTAAGAAAATTCCTTGGGCTACAGCAAGCTTGAAAAGCAGTGGTCTCGGTGGCATGCCAACATTTCCTATGTTTCTGACATTATAATGCATTTCATGTTTTCCACACATCTAGAGAAACACTGATCACCATCACATTCCTATTATTTCTTGTTTACTTACTGGACATGGTATTGTCTAACATCTGTAAGAGTTTGGGGTTTGAAAGTGCATTTTTGCCTCGAATTATAGGTAAAGTTTGTGATCTGTGCTGCTTATGTCCTTCATGAGTGGACGTGGTATGCATCCTGAAAATTAAATAGGAAGAAATGGTTTAAGTACGAGAGATATGACATACTGATGTTCAATCAAGTATTCTAGATTGAGTCAAATATAAATGACTTTTAAACAGAGATGTTGTATTAAAAATATTGAATACAGGTAACATGATAAAAGGGAGTTTTAAGAATACTTTTGGAGAAATTTTATTTAAGCCAAAAATAGGTTCAGAAGGATAATAATACCAAAGAATGATAGAAGAATAACAGATACTGAATTTAAATCTGAACAAGCATATTCATTATTGTTTATTGAAATCATGAGATTCCATGGGAATTCCATGGGATTCCATCCTGGTAAGGGAGAGAGCTAAGGGGGCCCTGAGTGCAGCTATGTTCCCAGGCCGATGACAATGGACTGCAATGGTTCTCATTCAATGTCTCCTTTGCATGTCCATCTGGGGGAATGAGCCAGTGTTATGTGGAAGTAGGAACACTTCCCATTCTTTACTTTCATTTAAGCTATCATTTGGCCAACATAATAGAACATTTTTTTTTAGGAAAGCAGGCAATAGGAGATACCCTGAAGAGTCAAGCCTATAGAAAAGGCAATGGTTTTCCCTTGGTCACACACTTCAAGGCTCATTTGGTTCTGGCCAAATCAAATGTTCTGGATGGCTTGAGACCCAGAAGATCTAACTTTGGTTTTCAGTGGCCAGGGGAGTCCGGGTCATTCCTGAAGCTACAATAAATAATGGGTTCTGGGCTGAATGGCTTGGACCTTTGGGACTGGTTTATTTCCAGGTTTTGAGTCTATTTTAGTCTGGAACTTCTCAAGGAAAAATCCTGTTTCTAGAAGAGGAAAGGTAGGAATGGCCAGGACTTGTCTAGATCATTCAAGAAGCCTGAAACCTAACTGACCAAACATTAACAAAACTACAGTGACCTCAGGTACATTATTATTGTCTTTAAACATGAAAAGTCAATGTTTATAGTCCTCTATTACCATTTGCAAAACATGCCTATTATATTTTCTCATTTACTTTCACACAAGGGACCACTTCAAGGAGTCTCTATGGACTAAGAGGCAAAATTTACTCCACGATTTATTGGTTATATACCACTTTTCTATTTCTAAAATTCTTTCTAAAATATAGCCATTTTCATATTATATATTATTATGGTATCTCTGGAAAGAATAAATCAAAGTAGAGAAAATTTTAGCAAAGAATTCTTATTTACTAGACTCAGAGGAGATATAAAGTAGGATTTCAGGGCAAAATTTTCCGACCAGGTAGATTAATAAAGGATGACTCCAGGTCCTATATGCTAGTTAAATCAGTGTAATGACTAGGAAATCTAACATGAGCTTATGGAACCATCCATGCTTCCTCACTGCCCTTGACCCTTTAAAAAATAATTTGAGCTCTAAGGATACTGCTAACATATTACAAACATTGAGAGGAATGGGGAGATACAACCTCGGCATTTTACTTTGTCACTAGGAGGTTAGCAAATATTAAATGAGTCATTTATTGGAATTACGTCTTTTTGGGTTCAATTAAATTAAGGTACCTATTAACCCTCGTCCTATGCATGGCATTGTGCCCTAGTGCACATAAATAAAGCATAATCCTTGCCTCTTAGGTCTTCATAAGCTAGCGGGGCAGATCGGGCAGTAACTGAGAAGTTTTTTCAGAAAAACACAGAGTTATTTGAAATCTGCATTTGGTTTAAAGTATATGCATACATACATATGTGTGTGTGTGTGAGTATCCACACCCCCATACATATATACACATCCGTATACATATATACCTATGTATATATGTGTACATATATACACATACATTTATACATAGGTATATATGTGTACATACATACATATATACACATGTATTTACACATATATACACACAATAAGATTACAAATATCAAGCAAATGCGATGTTACCATTGTGACAAGGGACCTGATGCTTGGCAGGAAGGATTAGATCCTTTGAGAGTTCCATTGTTCTGGGTGGACTGCACAAATTTAAATGCAGCGGCAATTTTTCTGCAAGGAAAACTGATGTTTTAATCATAGCTCCATATTTGTAATTTACTTATAAACACAGAATGGCAACTGGCAAAGTGATTATTGAACAATGAAATAAGTTCACATGTTATGAAAAACAGAATCACATTTTCTTCCGGCAATGGGAAATGGGGGTTTAGTGAAGGTGCTGGGGGCTTCGTGGTCTCTCATGAGAAAAGGATGTCAACACAAAAGTTATTCCAGATTCATTTTTATTTTTAGCTTACTAGGAGTATATTCGTTCTTTCCTTCTTTCCTTTTAATTGAAGAACAGTGTTATATTAGTTTCAGGTGTACAACATAGTGATTTGACGAGTCTAGACGTATGTGGCCATCACCACGAGTGTACCTCATCTGTCCCCAAACAACAAAACCAATAACTATATTCCCTATGCTGTACCTTTTATTCCTGTGACTTATTCACATTGGATGTATTTTCTTAAATAGGAATCTTCTACATTACATCCATACAAATGATAGATAAGTTAGTTCAGACTATATGGGAAATGTGGTTTCCCTTCAGAAATGTATGTTTTGTGCTTTTCTCTCTCAATAGCTTTACCTAGTCCTAGATCTACTATGGGTATAGGGCAATCATTAAACTCTTATGTCTACTGTGAGGTCAACCTTACAGTCCTTATGTGCATTTTAAGATTTCTAACATATATCTCTGTAAGTCTAACTGGATACATTACTATTTGTCATATCTTTTTTTAAAAGACCAGACTAACCTATTGGAATTTAAAAGTTATTACCTTATTATATTGCGTTTCCCTAGGTATCTGAAATTTTGAAGACAAACACTAGAAAGGAAAAAAAAGTCACATTCTAATTATTCATGCCCTTTTATTTATACAAACCATTTATTTAAGTTCATTAAAAGAAAAATATTACATTTTCTTTAAATATTTCATGCATTACTATTGATGGGTAGTTCAGCATATGGGTCCTTAGAATGAATGATGGCATACTGAACTATTTTGAAGCTTCCAGAAGAAAATGTTAATGAACCAACTGTATAACTTACTCCAAGATGCTGAAGAAGTCAGACACCTCCGGGCTGGGTGCTCTTTGCCAATAGGCAATCAGCATCTCTAAAAAGAAACACCATGGGGCATGAGACTTTGGAAATGCAAAGTTTTCCTTTTTTAAAAAATTTAATTTTCAAGAGCTCTCTTTACCCTCTGAAATGGTCTTCATAATGTGAAGAAAGCACATGAGAAGACTCCTGGTTTCTGCTTGATCTAACTTGTCAAATCGAAGCGTCGACCCTATCAAAGACAAGGGTCGAGGGATCTAGGAGTGGAAGAACCAAGAAGGATTGAGTTTGAGTGACAGCCTGCTGACCCACAAGGCGCTGGGTAGTTGTGAGAAAAGCCCCACCTTTTCACAGTTGTCAGTCTTCTCACTGCTCTTCTCATTGGTGCTTGGGTTGGAGTCAAGACTCGCTAAGGAGGCTCTGGAGTCAGCATGGTTTACTGTAGAAATAGCTATTGATGAAAATGCTGCAAACACAAGCCACAGCACACAGATGGTAATGAGATGTAACAGGCACACACACACAGAGCTAAAATGATGCCCCAAAAAGATGTCTGAGCGTTGAGGTGTAGCAGTGTTGGGCAAGACTGACATAACAGAGTCTGCAATTACCATTAAAGACGTGCCACATCGTAAGAATGGTCATGATGGCCACGCCAGCATTAAGGACTTAGGAAAATTTAGGCCATTATAAATGGAAATAAAGTACAGCTCATTCTGTTGATTTCTTAAAAAAAAAACTTTTAAAAGAAAGTTTCTCTTTTAAAAATGCTTTCATAAATGTTCCTAAGGCTGCTTTTGGGGAAGAAGCTTTCAAGTTCTGACAGTTTATAAGAAATGAAGACGACATTTCCAAAATAGTTCTTAAAAGTAAATTTTGAACTTGACGGGCTATTATATTTTAACAGGTTGTATGCAATGAAAACTTAAAGGTGGTTTCCAGAATGAATTTAGTAACATCTGAGTAGATCGCTCTTTGAGCCAAGTAAAACTGAATGCTAAGTAGAAGAGGAAGCCCCTGGATGGTTTTCAAAGAAATAAGTAAAGAGACTCTTTAGATATAAATATAGTATATTTTGACATACAGAAATTTTGCACATTGAATTATGGAGTGGGTAAAAAACACGATGATACGTAACATAAACATGGATGAGAGTGAAACACAAGGGTTCTCACAAGGTCTTAAGTACCTGCTATGGAATTTAAAACATCTTTAGAAAATGAGGTGTCCACAGAGTTTGCATGTTTCATAGCTGACTGGGTGTGAAATCCTCCATTGGTGCTGAGGTCGTCTCTAGACCCCTGCATTTGAAGCACAGAAGAGATTAATGGGAATTGCTGTATTTCAACATTGTAAACCCACACATGCCTTCTTTGTTATGCTTTTGATTTGATGCTATTTGATTTGATCTTTTATATTCCGGCAAAGGTCTTCTGCCAAAGCAGGCAGTAGAAATGAATACTCATAACCATGCTTTTCAACAAACCCATACTCTTAGCCACAGCTTGATTTCTTATGTGATTTTTTCTTTTTACAATGTAGTGGAAACTATCTTCTAGATATAAACTAAATGGTTGGAATGGCTACTGACTTTTTACGGATTATACTATAGATTATATATCATTATTATCATGGGTTATCTTATGTATATTACTAGTACTAAAAACTAATTCCAAATACTTATTATGTGCCAGTCTCTATGATAAGTGTTTTCTACTGGACCATTTAATCCTCATAAGAATCCTGTGATGGAGGAATTCTATCCGATTCTATAAAGAAGATAGTGGATGTTGAAAGAGGCTGGATGACTTATCTAAGGTTACATTGCTAGAAACTGGTATCACTGGGATTTGAACAAGGTCCTCCTCTACACAACATTCCAAAGGCATAGCTCCTAACTTCCAGGTGGTAATATCGTGCCTTCAGCAGTGTGTTAATTCAACCGGGCTGTGAACACAGGCACCCGATCTCAAGTGGCTTGCTGTGCAGTCTCTATCGTGGCTCAGTGGAAGAGGGATGACAGACAGGCCACTGCTGGGTATGACTGAAGCACTTGGCTATGCCAACACCGGGTGGTCACGAAGCCGATGCAGAAAGGTCAGGGGAGGGAGGTGAATGCTGAGGACAGGACCATGCATGTTACAGAGGAAACTGGTAAAAACTGGACAGAACTGGAAGGTGATACAGAGAACAGAGGAAAATGATGGTTGAGGTGGAAGGCTTCAGGGACCAATCTGGAACAAATGACAGATGCCAACGTCTCAAAATAGCTAGCACGAGGTGCTTAGTTGGTTCACAGTTAGGGGAAAATGGCTCTCCAGGGCAAAAACACAAAACAGGCAAACTCTTTATTAAAATGCACATTTGAACCATTCTGTAAACTGACCTGATTAGATGTGTTGACAGTAAAAGGATACAGGTCCTTTAGGTAAATCCTTGGCATGTTGTCCAGAAGCATGCCGTAGAGGGGCATGTATAAACTTGCTATCTGGGCCTGCTTCTCCTAGGTGGAAAGGTAGCCAAAAGAAATGATTCACATAAAAATCAACAGACTTGTAGGCTTGATATGCATTTAATGCAGTGAGCCACTAAATGGTGTTTAGGGAAGGGAGAAAAGAAAATCACTCACTGGTTCTCTGTATCGATCATCAAATGAATGCTTAGCCATTAGATTTTTTAGGACAGCTAAAGCTAAGTGCCTGACGTCTTGGTCTTCTTGCAGGGCAAAGCCAACTTCTCGGAGTAGAATTCCAATTAAGAAGTGTTTGCGGCAAAATTCATTCGTGACCGAATATTCAGGCATATCTTTGTGAGGAAAGTAAAGAGATCATGTTATTGAAAATCAAGCGATCACTTTATAATTCAGAAAGATTTATCCAACAACTATCAACCCTCTCACTACCAGGGAAGGATTCAGTAATGCACTCTTGCTACAGAGAGAGAAATGAGAGTGGACACTACTACCAATTATATTCACTGTCAGCGGTCAAATTCCATAAAAGTGGTATGTCTACAATGTTATAGGGGTTGAGAGGAGAAAAGTTCATTTTCTGTCTGGAGGAATTAGGGTGTGACCGGAGGGAATATGTTAAGATGGGCCTTTGAGGCTGCTGAAAGTTAGGAGGGGCAGAGGGTCAGGAGCCAATGGAGGTGGTGGGGCGTGGGGGTGGAGGAGAAGTTGGGAGGACCAGGGGCCAGGGTTTTGGTGGCACAGATTCCTGAAGCACAGTGTTTGAGGATACGTTGGGGGTACTAGTCAGCACAGCCGTCAAGACAGGGGTGGTGCGAATTGAGACCTGAGGGACACGTGGGCCCAGATGATGGAGAGACCTAAACACAAATTCTTTAGTTGGCCCCTAGGGCTCTCCACCATTTGGCACTGAAAGTATTCTGTAGCCAGTATTCTGGCTGTAGAAAGTATTACGTCACCAATGCCTTTGAGATCAGTGGCCCCATCAGACCTGTGCTTACTCATTTGTTCACGTGGTGACAGGACATACATGAGTTATTCTGTGGGGAAATGTGGGCAGAAGGCTATAATACAGGAGGCTTGGCCCCAGGGGAGGGAGGGGAGAAGTGAGACGCATCTGGGCTGGGATAGGAAGACCCAAGTAGTAGAAGAAATATCACCAGGACAAGTTGGCTGAAGGATGTGAAAAAGCAAGAAAAGGAACATCAAAGGGGGCTGCAAAATTTGGAGCCTGAATTATGGAGAAGTTGGAATGTTAAAATTTCCAGTAAAATTTAACAGGTCCCACTTCTAGAACCCGTATTGAGTGCTGACACCGGGCTAAGCACTATGTAGGTGTTATCTTAGTGAATCCTCAGGGTTACCCGTTAGATGCACTGAACTGTTGGAATATCCCAGTTCATCACTGACTAGGAGCAAATGAAACATGTGGAGGTTTGTAGTCCATGAAGATGCTGCTGGGAGTGGAAGAACAAGGAATGTGAAAGTTCTGGAAACACTGGTCCATGGGCTTAGTTTGGTTAAAAACATTTCTCTGTGTAATTGTGAGTATTCGTGAGGGGCCAGACATAGAACACAACTTCGTAATTCCCAACCTAGGGCTAGAGAAAAGTTCTGCCCAGACTCTTGTAAGAACCTATTCCAAGTAAAAATAATCATCTCAATCTTGAGAAAATAGCTGAAAAACGAGGTTGACAGAAATATAGCATATAAAACTAGTTACACTGAACAAACATGTTATTGCACATAGCCGGGAATTTTATTTATGATACACCCTAAGAAAATTTCAGATGATTTGGGGAATTAAAAAAAATGTCAAACTCTGGAGAGTAAAATATGAAAGAATCCAACTTGGCAAAGCATTTAATTATCTGTAACAAAAGTTCAGTCAGCTTGTGGACTTTTTTAATTGTATGATGTTAAACATATGGCTGTTTTTTGGTCTCTGAAAACTGGAAATTTGTAGTATGTATATCTATCAATATTATCTACCAATATTATATGTAGTATGTATATCTCTCAATATTATCAGATTATGATATGGTTATTGATGCTTAGATAATGTAATACAAAATATAATTATTTACCTGATGCATGTAACTCTTGAGTTGATTCCGAAGGTGTCAAAGGATCTGAATTTAATGTAAATAAACAAAAAGTTCAGATATACCCATACTCAGATACACACTATATTCATTAACTATGGATAATTTATACTGAAAAATTAAAATGTATTGTCCTAAACTATAAGTGAGTCTCTTCAATAAAGCTTTGTTTCTTGAAAACAAAGACTGTTTGTTTCCTTAAAAAAGAAAGCTATGAACAGAATTATTTTAATTCTTGGCCTTGTACTTGAGCACCTATTTTTTCCATCAGAAATCTGCATGCCACAAAAAATATATTTTTATGTTCTCTGTTGATAATATCAAATCTACAAAGAGACTATCAGGCCTTTTCCTGAGCTACTGACAAATAGTAAACAACTGGAATCAAAATGATCAAACAGATTTGCTCTTCTTGAGTATCTTAACCAGCTTGTCCAACCCAATAATAAGTTGGCGCTAGTTTATAAAATAAAAAGGAATACAAAACAAAAGCTGTCCAAAGTAATATTTCTATCTCTTTTTCTATAAAGGCATTTAGATTAAATGTACTTTGTAAATTAGAAAAGAATGGAATAATGAATTAAATAGCTTATGTTTATTCCTTAATGGAATCAAATAGTTTATATTTAAGATTAAAATGACCAAACCTTTATGGTATGGCACACCATAAGAGACTCTTAACCAAAGAGAACAAACTGAGAGTTGCTGGAGGGGAGGTGGGTGGGGGGATGGGCTAAGTGGGTGATGGGGATTAAGGAGGGCACTTATCATGAGCACTGGGTGCTGTAGGTAAGTGATGAATCATTAAGTTCTACTCCTGAAATCAAAATTACACTATATGTTAACTAATTAGAATTTAAATAAAAACTTGAAACATAAAAAAATATATTGAAAACATTTTTATAGGCTTGAAAATGTACTTTACACTATTTTCCCTCCAAAATATTAGTTTTGTATAATACATATAGAAGAAGCTGCAATACATGTGAGGAGGCTCTTTAGCATCTTAGTTTCTGCTTTCCATGAATATCAAAACTGTGCCCTATGGATAATTTACTCACTGCTTAGAAGCAAAGTATTTTTTCTTTCCTCCTCTCTCCTTTCCTTTCCTTTCCTCTCCTCTCCTCTCCTCTCCTTTCCTTCCTCCCTCCCTCCCTCCCTTCCTTCCTTCCTTCTTCCTTCCTTCCTTCTTTTCTTGAGGTATGATTGACTATAACACTATATTGGTTTCAGGTGTACAACATAATGATTCCATATTTGTATGCATTGCAAAATAGGAGCAGAATATTTTAAGTTCTTTTTTTTTTTTAAAGATTTTATTTATTTATTTATTCATGAGAGACAGAGAGAGAGAGAGAGAGGCAGAGGGAGAAGCAGGCTTCCCGCGGAGCAGGGAGCCCGATGCGGGACTCGATCCCAGGACCCTGGGATCATGACCTGAGCCAAAGGCAGACGCTTAACCATCTGAGCCACCCAGGCGCCCAGAATATTTTAAGTTCTTAAATCATTTTAGTGTTTTCTTTGCATCTTGATGTTTGATTAGCTTCTGATGGCTAGATGTGTGATGATCATCTTGGTATCTATCTATATTGGTATATATGAAATATATATTAATAAAAGTTATAAAAGAAAATATTTTCTATAGACCATTTATGCTTTAGCAAATATGGAAATGAGGAGCCCTATTCTTCCCTGCACAGAAATCTGGGGCTCTTTCTAACCCAGAGATATTGAGTATTTACAGTGCTGCCCTCCTGCCTGCCTTCCTTTCTCCTTTTCAAGGCAAAAGTTTTTTTTTTTTTTTGGTATAAAATTCATGTTGAGGATTTGCATTTTAACATAATTAGACACTTTAATTGATAACTTTAAGTGAATTTGTACTCACAAAATATAACTTCTCCTCCCCATAATTTTATGCCTTTCAAAATCAAAGGAAAGCTATCTTTTGGAGACAATATAGTAAAAGTATTACTGTAGGTTAAAATTCTTTGATTTATAATCACCGATTTTGTAATTTTGTTGGCATTCTCTTTAATGAAAAAGGAAACATAGACAAAAATTGAGAAATATAGAGCCACCAACTTCTTTTGCATTTTAGCCTGATTACCTGGGCCTAATGCCTCTGTGACAGCTTCAAGCAAAACCAAAACCAAGGAAATAGTAAAAAAAACCACCAACACATAAACAAAGGTAAAAACAAATAAACAAATCCAAATGTTCACTTTGGAGGAACTGATGAAAATTCTGGGCGTTACCTGGAATGTTTGCTGATCTTATGGGGAGACACAAAGGAATAAAGTGTTCATGCTGACAGACTTCTTGAAGAAAATCAAATTTATATTGGCATAAGGTCTGAAAAAGAGGCAAACTGAATGACTATTATTTACACACCAAGAAGGTTGATAAAAAAATCTGCACTTGAATCTTATACCTAGAAAGAAGATGTAGTTACTTTTGTGTACTTCTGTTGTTGAGCTTCTAAGAGATAATGATCTTACGGAGTGGTACTTTCCACTTCTTTTAGCTTGTATCAGCCCATGTTTATTCTGAGAGGGATCGTATCTCACCACAGGTACAGAGCTCTAAAACTACGCTCAGCTCATAGAACAGGTCACTGCAATCAACCCTTCCGATCCAGCGCTAAGGAAAACAATGGTGCACGTGACCTAAGACCAGAGATTTTTCTCCGTAGGCCCTTTGTTCTCAGAGTAAATTATTTAATTTCACTTCTTTCCTGCCCTTGCAAACAGGTCTGATCCCTCAATAATGTTTTGATTGGGACAGTGATTAATGGAATCCAGCCATGGTCTAAGACAACTTAATACATGTGTTAAAAACAATCGCATAAGAAGGAACAATTAACACATTCGTAAATATTCTATTTTCCCTGTCGTGCAGACTAAGTAATCAATTTTTAAGATCCAGTTAGGTTGTTTTCATTATAATCATTAATATCAGCCAATAAAATAAAATATATTCCATTTGCTATGATATTTTAGAATTATATTTTGTGACAACTTTAGTTAGTAATTTAAAAGGCTCTCATTTCAAACAAGAATAGTATTTGACTTAATCCTTTGTGCATCAAAGTGAATAAGAGCATAATTAAATTGTATGTTAATTATTTTTCATTGAGTATGTTCTGTTTGGTGTCTGAAAAAAAAATAATTTAGGTCTACTGGATTTATACCTAAAAGGATAGTCTGCAAATTTCATGTATAATTAGAGCCCTAACAAAGAATATTCTTTCAAAAAATATTTACAGAGGGAATTGGATTCTCAAAACCCAAACGACATATAATCATATAATTCCCCCAGTCAAAAGTAAATCTTCATTGCCCCAAAAATAATGTTCAGATTCCTAAGCATAGCATGAATGGGTATAAGAAGATCACTATTTATTTTTGGCTTCTTTACATTCATTATTCTTTCCCAATACCTAGATAATTACCCCTGGGGGACTTTCCTTCTTCCCAATGGGCAAAGGTTAATGGGGAACTATTAATTTAGGAGCCCTGTCTTCCTTCCTTAAAAGTCAGGCAGGTTGGTCACACATTTCCTCTCTGGAATGTAAATCTTAAGCAGAGGGTTAAGAGAAAGAAAATGGTTCTTGGCAAAGCAGTTGCAGACCTTGGCCACATGGTTCTTCCTTTGCAATTATTCTTGTGCCCTGGTCCCTGTTCTTTCTCAAGCTCAGCTCTCCAGCTCTTTCATGGATGCCATAACGCTTCTAATAGTTTCCCTTTGCTCAAATTGGCTCAAATTTCCCTTTGCTCAAATTGCTTGCTACCCAAAGAGACTTAACTGGTACAACTTTCATGATCTGGCCCATTTCCAGCCTTATTTCCCTCCAGCATATGTCCTCAAACTTGAGAGCACGTAAGAATCACCTGAAAGCCTTATTGCAATAGAGATTTCTGGGACCTACCTGCCACAGTCAGCTCTGACATCACTGGGCTGGGAACCACACTTTGAGAATCACTGCTCTCTATACAGCACTGTTCCCAGTCTATCTCCCAACACATTCTCCCTATTTGGGAAGGGGGGGTCAACTGTCCATTTTGCCCTAGACTGAAGGATTTCAGAAAAGTGAGACTTTAAGTGCTAAATCCAAGACAATCCCAAGCAAACCTGACTATAAGAATTGCAGCTGAAAAGAACCACTCCTTTCACCACCCACAGGAAATAGAAGTGAAACATACATGTTCATTCCACACTCCACACACCACAGTCCCCCATTAAGAAAGGATTTGGGAAACTAACTCAGATGGACCATTTTAAAAGGCTGCCTCTCATTGGGATAGGAACTATTTTTTGATGCAGAGAACGGATAGGCTAATGCTTTAGGCAGACAAACACAGAGACTAGTTGATTTATTTATAATGCAATGGTTTAGAAAGTGATCACTCCCACACTTGGTTCTTACCTTGAGATCACCAGAGGAGAACATGCTGATGTAATTGTTAACCATCTTAAATACAAAGCCCCGATCCATAAATGTAAAACAGCGCTAAAAAATATAAAATTGTAAATTCAGACATTTTTACTTTAAAGGTCATTAAAGATTTTAGAAAAGGTGATTAAATATATTGAAGTAAAATGACATTTAACTAAATGTGTTGTGTAATAAATGTTTAAAAAAAACTCTACAATATGTTTAAACATTCATCCACGTATGGCAACCAATTAAAATGTGAGATAGAGTGCACACACCAGAAAGTTATAAACGCCTATTTGTCAATTTTATAAAACACCACTTAAGAGTTTTGCAGTGAAATATTATAGCCCTTTCCTTTCCATACAGGCTTTAGCTTTTACTTATCTATTTATTTTTTTAGTCACTTAGTTACCTTTTATTACTCTTTTTTAGTAATTTGACTCCACAGTTTGCCAGGTGAAGATCCTTTGCTGGGTAGGAACAGCGGTAGCAGAGGTGGGTCAGGAAAGCCTTTTTAAACCTCTGGCTTCCTTCAACAGAGTACTTTGGAGTGAGGAGTGAAGGTAAGAGACCCTGAGATTTCCATCTCTTACTCTGTTGTCAAACTCTCTTAACTATAATATGGAGAGTCTTAAACAGCAGGTAGGTTGGGAGGAGAAAGGCAAACATCCCAAGTTGGCACAGCATGCTCTCTCCAAAAGACCAGTGGCCATGTAAGCAGTGACCAAGCAACAGTGGCCAAATGACTGCACTGAAGGGTGAAGTAGGAGGTACAGACCATCTTGGGGAGGCACCACTGAAGGTTTCCATATGGAGGTCATCACTGTGTGCGTGGGTTTGATTCTGTCATCCACATGGATGTGGGAACGTACATGGGAATATCTTACAGCTGCTGCACCATTTAGTATGGAAGTTTTCTTTCTTGTCTCAAGAGTTCAGGATGGTCCATTGCAAAGGCTGTGCATTTTTTGGATCTCTTCTCAATTTTACAAACAAATCTCTTTTCTCAGAAAGGACTGGACATAAAATTTTGTCATAGATAGTATATATACCAAGTGGATAGTCTCTCACTGAAATACATCTGGGCATAAAGAAGAACTATTTTCTCTAATATGTTCTTCCAATTGTTATGGAGGTCATTTCTATTTTTGTTTTGTTTTCCTTTCCCTTGTTCTTTCGTTTCTTCTGAGTGGTTTTTATGTACCTACTCATTCCTTAATGAGTTGGTGAGTTCTCTCCCTGAACCTACTCAGTTGTCACTTCCGGGGGGCTACAGTGCTTATTCTGCAGAGCAGACCTGATAGCTTTTGAAGGAGGTCAAACCCCAGCACCAGTGAATAGGGAAGATGGGGAGAAGGCTGCCTGCCCTGGGGATCTAGGAAAACCCATTTGCGGTTTCTTGAGATTGAAGAAAGACCTATGTGGTAAGTTTGTTATCCTCTTTCCAAGGGGCAGTGATGAGGAAAGGGGGTCATTCCCAGGATTTAAGATCAGCAGAATCAGCCTTCTGCTTGCAGAGAGCCCTCCTGCAGGTCAAGCTTCATCAGGTGTCTCTCCTGTCATGGGTCCATCGCTTAACTCAGGGGCAGAGGCTCTTCAGCCCATTGCTGAAGTCTGGAGGGGCCTCTCTGCTTTTGTTTAAAAATAATCTATATTAACAGTTTATATTAACAAAAAATAATTTGTAGCAAGCTTTGACGAACTATGGCCCATTGGCCCAAACTGCCTTACTGTCTATTTTTTTAAAGATTTATTTATTTATTTGAGAGAGAGAGCAAGTGGGGGGAGGGGCAGAGGGAGAGAGAGAGAATCTCAAGCAGACTCCCTGCTGAGCATGGAGCCAGACCCCGTGGGGTGGGGGGAGGCCTCGATCTCACTACCCATGACATCATGACCTGAACTGAAATCACGAGTCGGACACTTAACAGACTGAGCCACCCAGGTGTCCCCACTGTCTATTTTTGTAAATAAAGTTTTATTGGAACATAACCACACCCAATCATTTACATATTGTCTATGGTGAATGGTTTATGTTTTTAACATAACTATAGTGCTACAATGGCAAAGTTGAGTAGTCCTGCCTGAGACTATATGTCCTGCATAGCTAAAGATGTTTAGTATTTGGCCCTTTATGAAAAAAGTTTGCATATTCCTGAACTGGAGGATAACTTATACCCTATCAAAATTTTCTCAGTTTGGTTTAATAAACTAAAAGCCAAATATTTTAAATTATGTGCAAAAATATGTTGTTGTCATCAAAGAATATTTATTTTATTTAACCAGTTGTGAGGACAACGATAATTTTAGTCTATCATTCATTCAGTGAAGAGTATGAAACCCCAAATTGTGAAACAAATCAGATGAGAGTCCTTGCCTTTCTCTATATGTTTTACAAAACCATTGGTCCTACTAGTTCCTTTTTCATCTTGGATACTTGCGTTTGCCCCTGTGCTAGACATTAGCTTAGGTACCACCCACAGCAACTTTTGCATGGATGAGCTCCACGGAAAACACTTATTTATTAAAAATCATAGAACATTTAAGTCAAATAGAGTAAATATGAAGACCTTCCTGGTTTTTTTTTCTTTTTTTAAGATTTTATTTATTTTTTAGAGAGCGAGCGAGAGAGAAACAGCATGAGAGGGGAGAGGGTCAGAGGGAGAGGCAGGCTCCCCGCTGAGCCGGGAGCCCGATGTGGGACTCGATCCCAGGATCCTGGGATCACGACCTGAGCCGAAGGCAGACGCCCAACCATCTGAGCCACCCAGGTGCCCCGAAGACCTTCCTGTTTTCAGAGATTCACTTATCTACCTTCTTGTGATGTTTACAGAGAAGTATCGCAGATGTTTCTTTAAACGTATTTTACTACACGAAGACTGTCTCCTATATTAGATGATTTCCAAATGTTGTCCAAAGCTAACTGAAATAAAGTGATTAGTCAGGCACATGTGTCAAAAGATATGTCTGTCTAAGCAGGAAAATACAAATCACACTGAACTTTCCTTTGCTTATCTCCCTGGTATTATGCCTGCATAAGAAGAGTACCTAGATGGATTCGCTCAGGGAACTGGAGTTGTGACCCAGATTGGCAGTAAAAAGAAAAAAGACAAAAACTCCATAGGTATTCATGGATCCATTTGTATCCTATCTACTTCCAGGAGAGAATAGTAAGAGAAAGGCACAAGGTTTTGGCTTAGTTGCTACAAAAATATTACTTTCCCATAATATGATACGAAGGAGGGCACATTCTCACCTAGGACATTTTTATATGCCCACATCAGAGATACTGCTCTCTCCATTCTTGGAAAACAGTCTTGGCACAACTATGGTGTGAAAATTATATTTCAATTGTGAAATTTCAAAGCCAGTTCATTCACAGTATTTGATTACTAATGTAGAATTTAATAACCAAAAGAGGCAAAAGTCATTTGAAGCCCGAATTGAGCAAATAACCATTATCAGATTTCTGGGAATATAAGATATTTATAATGCCAATAGCAGGAGTGGGCAATGTTGAGCAGCTGAAAGCTCAAAGTTCATCAATTCACAGGCATTGTGCCAAATGACTACATTCAACTCTACACTTTAATCACTCTCTCTCCTTTTCCCTTTTCTTCTCCTAGTTCAAAAGGTTCATCTAATGATCTTTACAAAAAGCTCAAAAAAGTTTTCTGGGTCAAATAGATGCCATTAAAACTAAAATTTGAAAACCATGCCTGGCAGAAGATTACAGGAAAAGGGAGGGAAAACAGAATGAGAAGAAATTAGAGAGGGGGACAAACCACAAGAGACTCTTAACTATGGGAAAGAAACTGAGGGTTGCTGGAGGGGAGATGGGTGGGGGGATGGGGTAACTGGGGGATGGGCATTAAGGAGGGCACGTGATGTGATGAGCACTGGGTGTTAAATGCAACTGATGAAATACTGAACTCTACATCTGAAATTAATGACCTACCATATGTTGGCTACTTGAATTTAAATTAAAAAAAAAAAAAGACAACCATGCTTGTAGGATGGACTTTTATAATATACAATATATTAAACTGTTTCCTGGAATGAGTATTACTTTCGATTTGCAGTCCACATAATCTATATAATCTTACAGACTTTTAAGACTGTAGACTTATAGACTATATTTGTTTATCTATTGTCAGTCCATGCTTTTTACCCACAAATGTCACAAAACCACTGTTACCACCATTAGCTCTCTACTCCATCCTGTCCTTTTCAATCTTGGACATTTTTTACTTGCCCCCAAGTGAGACATTAGTTTATGTACCAAAAGAAGCAACTTTTGTATAAATGAGCCCCAAAGGAAACACATTTATTCCAACAAATGTAGAGCATAAAAACCTAGGAAGGTAGATAAAATTCTTTTCTCTTTTTAAAAGACTTGCTTGTTCGTCATTCTTTGCAATTTAGGGAAGAATATTGCAGATGTGTCTTAAACATAATTTGCTTACAAATTGGACAGTTTATCATTTTTTCCAAATTTTCTCTTCTATCAAACACTTCAAGTAAACTACTAGCATAGTAATAAACTTTATTCCCACAGGTCTTAAAATGTGGTAGAAAACTAGAGTAATTTTTTCTTCTTTACCCTCTTCATCACTAACTCTGACCATCCCTTTTTCCTTCTGAAAGCAAGAAAAAAGCAAAAAGAAGAGGCAAAATAGTGAAGAAAAACAGTGAATTTAAGAGGAGACCACATGTAGTGTATAATTTGAAATGATGTTTAATACATTAAAAATGGATTTAACTGGGTTAAAACTCACCAAAGATAATTTGGACTAATTTTATATCTACCTCCATGGCCTCTTAGCTTTCTTTATATAGTTAGTATTTATTTATAAATTCTTACACTTATCCGGTATGTTCTGGCGTGTATCATAAAGATACAAGAAAAGTGGCTTCATCAAAGTTACAATAGTCAATAGCTGGGCAAAAGAAGGAATAGAAGAAAAACATTTTCTAGTTGGATGTATTTTTTTTTAAAGATTTTATTTATTTAAGAGAGAGAGAGCAGAGCGAGAGAAGGAGCACGAGCGAGGGGGGAGGAGGGGCAGAGAGAAAGGGAGAGGGAGACACAGGCTCCACGACGCAGGGTTTGATCCCAGGACCTTCGGATCATGACCTGAACTGAAGGCAGATGTTTAACAGACTGAGCCACCCAGGCGCTCCTTTCTAGTTGGATGTATTATCTGTTAAATGATACACCATCATTCTACATTAGCTTTGTTTTTGTTTTTTTTTTGACTAAGCATATATTTTTCTTCTCAATTCTATCTTTAATGCAAAGAAACATAACTATATTACTATATGTGTGTGTGTGTATAGAGTTTAATAAGTAGTTTCTCAATACTTTAATTGATCGTTTTTAAAACGTGATTAGTGCATAACAAAAATGCCAAATTACCAAAAGTTCCCAGAGTGGTTATTTGACATCATTGTTGGAGCTATAGCCAATCCAGAACACCACTTCAAGGGCAGAAATGCCCCAAATCATACGCCACAGTGCAGCTTTTCCTTTAAAAACCTCATTTTTCTCTTTAAGAATGTTTAGAAATACTATGATTTGACAATAGTCAAATGGATACTTTTATTAAAACTTGGTTTTTGTTCTAGGTGACTCCAAATGGGAAAAAAAAAATTAAAAAGTATAATGCATCAATAGAAGTATTCACCTAATAGTGCTCGTTTTGACTCTTTATCATAAATGGAGATGTGAATTGATTAACCTTTAGAGTAGCTCACATCCAAGATCATGAAGGCATGAACGGAACTGCAAACTTTTAGAACTGTACCTTAAGAAATCTGGCAACGCTGTGATTTGCCCTTCTTGTTTCTTCAAGGGCATCCTTGTATTTCCAAGTCACGTGATCGCATAGGACCATGACAAGATTGTCCAACTCATTCTGGTAAGATTCAGGAAATCTTTGAGCCCGAGAAAGCTAAGGAAAGAATGGATCATTTCTTTATAATGTGACATGTGAAATCGTAAGCCTGGAAAAAAAAAGAAACTGAAAGACTGCATTTTGTATATCATCAAACAAAAAGAGTCCTTTTGGAAACCTGAAAGCGATAATGAAATAGAAACCCTTTTAATGTCAAGATCATGATTTCCACCATTTTCATTTTATGTTTCCTTCTATTTTGGCCAATGATCTTTTTTCACTTTTTCATTAAAAAGTAAAATACATATTAATTGCAAACTATTCAAACAGTGTGGAAGTGTAACATGTTCTATGACATCTCACATATTAATTCCCCCTTCCCTCTTAAAAAATAATTATAATGAATATTATTCTAGATTTATGTTGACACAGTTCTCTATTTAATTTAAAATCGATTATTTTGATTTTTTAAGACTAGGCATCCCCCAACTATATGACATCAATGAATGAGTAACTGAATGAATACAGATGTTGGCTTGAAATGTTCTCTAATAAGTTCCAGGTGGTCTTTTCTGAAAAATTGATTTCAGCTTTATTGAGGTATAATTGACATATAAAAGTATGAGAAAGTTAAAGTGTACATTGTGTGTTTTTTAAAAGATTTTATTTATTTATTTGAGAGAGAGAGCGAGTGAGTGAGAGCACGAGCACAGAGCAAGAGGGGGAGAGGGAGAAGCAGACTCCCCGCTGAGCAGGGAGACGCAGGGCTCGATCCCAGGACCCTGAGATCATGAGCTAAGCCGAAGGCAGGCGGCTTAACCCACTGAGCCACCCAGGTGCCCCTATATTATGGTGTTTTGAGACATATGTACATTGTGAGAGATTCCTTCCATCTAGTTAATTAACGTATCCATCATCTCACATATTTATCTTTATTTTTTTGTGTGAGAACATTTAAGTTTTACTCTGTTAGCAAATTTCAATCATACGACACACTGTAATCACTGTGTTTTACATCAGATGCTCAGCCCTTATTCATCTTGTAGCTGCAAGTTTGTACAAGCTGATCCTAACCTCACAGTCCCACCATATGCAGCAGCAGGCCAGTGGGACCTCAGTCAAGAGATGTGCCACCAGATACATGCATGGACCTAAACTCTCTGGGTCCCCAAAGACCACCCTCAGGTCCAGGAATCTACTCCTCCTGTTGGACCTCCTGCACAGGAGGGGAAAGTTTCAGCAGCTAAGTCTTCCCATCTATCTGTAGTTCATGAATTTACCCAGACCTTCGCACGAGGTAGGCAAGTTTGATTCATCTTTACAAGTTGGCTTTAAAATTTAATTTAAAATTTCACGATAGAAACACAAAATTTAGAGATCGACTGAACTATATGTTTCTAAAATTCTCTGCACCCAGCCTTCCATGCTGCAAGAATAAAAACTACGGAGGATGAAGTTACAGGAATCACTTAGAACAAACAGCGGTTCCACCGTGGGATGCTGCTGTGGGTTAGCACTGGCTTTTTTCTTTTCTTTTTTTTTTTAACTAAGTCCAGGCCCTCAGGTGCTTCTGTGCACTGGATTTTTTTAAGTCAATTTACCAGGACATTGCTATATAGATCTTTTGGGATATTATGATTACCTTCCATGTATACTTAACAGTGTGGAAATTAAATTCACAACAAATAAACCTAAGTGATTTAATCACATGCATCATCTATCATTCTGCTCCATATACTTTGGGAAACAAGGGTAAACAATTCACCTACATGAAAGCAACATTCACTTTTTAAATAATCAAAGCACATTTGTAGATTTCCTCTTTTCCTTTTGTTTATCTTCTGAGATGCATGAAACTGACCAGCACCGACATTTTCTTCACACGAGGACACGTGTTGACAACTTGGGCTTTGAGACTCCCTCTGTTTCTCTCTCTTTTGGTCTTCTTCTCAAACTCCCCTTATGGCTTACTCCCACTCTTAACCCAAAGATGCTCTGACTCATTAATACACGAGTAGTATTTTCAACTGTTCTCCAGAAGTATATCCCAAAGGCTCGAGGTGGGAGAATTTCTGCTCCAGTGATTGTGGATTTCTGTCTCAAGACAGAGGAAGAAAGGGGGCAAGGGTTGGCATAGTCTGATCTCAGGCAAAAGAGCCAGAACAGGTTGGAAGAATCTGGGCTATTATACCATGTATGTCGTCAGGAGCAGGTGTAGAATGCATGGGCTGACGTTCAGGAATTTGGCAGTTTTTTAGGAACAAGAGGCTGATGGGAAACAAAAGGTTAGCCAGTACAATGAACTTTTTGCTACTAGAGATGAGTGCGGAGAAGGCATCAAGCAGTTCCTAGTAAACAGAAGCTCGCCTTGGTCAAGACAGCCGGGGTCATGTGGAGGTGCTATCTGCCTCTCAGGGGATTTAACCAGACATGTTTTCTCACCTCCTCTAAACTACCACATTCCATGATGACAAAAACTGTTTTAATGGTGGGGAAAGCCATCCACTTCACAATTGAAAAAAAAAAAAAGAAAAGAAAATGCAGAAAAACTTGAGAGGTATTTATTGTGAATGCTTTTGAGTCAAATGATGGTGTCAGGACTTTCTTACTCTGATGCATGGAGATGGTTAGAAAACTGGAGGGTGTTGGGCCCCTGGAAGGAAACTGGAGTGTGGGGTTGTCTATGAAGGGGACAGTGAGAAGGCAACTGGAATCTATGAAGATAAATGGTTAGACGCAAAGACGTGGCCCATAATGAGTTCCTTTATTCTTAACTGTTCACAAGGGCGTCTGTGACCTATTTGAGCAGGTATGTACTGGTGGGAATGAAAGGATTTTAGTCCAACCCATTCTTTTTACAGATGAGAAAATAGGCTCTGAGATATTAAATGTCTTTTTTTTAAATCATCTAACAAGTTAGTGGTAAGGCAAGGATTAGAGTGGTGAAGTTACCTAACTCCAACACAGCTTAAAAACAGAGAGATAGGAATCATTCTTATCTTCACATTAGATTTTCTCTTCCTTCCAGACAGGAGGTTTTTATCTCTGGAAGAAGGAGGGCAGACACAGCTAAAAAGCAAATATAAGACCTAAGAGTTAAGTTAGGGAGTTCCAGAGATGATTAAATGTCCAGCCAAGGGAGATCTGTTATGCTTGGGTCAAGCCATGGCTGGAGAGACTGTGGTGTGGAGGCATGGCTGGGGACATCGGGGTGGATGACCTCAGCATGGTGGCTCTGCACACTTCCCCGAGCCCTCAGCACTGGTAGAAGGGCCCTACTCCTCCCTACTAGGAGATCACATTTCTCCCAGGTGGGAGACCCTGCAAAAACCTTTCCCTGCAAGGCAGTAGGCAAATCCTTCAGGAGATGTCCCTCCTCCTTCCCCCGGAGCTCAGGTCAATAACTGGGGTTAAGTCCCGGCTTAACCCAGCTATAAACCTGCTGTGCCTAAGAAGATAAGACAGAGAGTATACCCCAAGGAGCTGTAAGAGCTGGCCTGTGCCAAGCAGGAGCCATGGCAGTTCCTTTGAGATTGAATGTTGAATGTGTTTTGATCAAGGGGGCCAGAAAGGAGAGTGAAGAAGTTAAAACTCATTGACATGGGGGCACTTTATCAGGACTTGGGATGAAATAATCCCGTTCATTGTTAGGATGGCTCTTAGAACCTGGAGATAGCACATTCCAAGCAAAGGAAAACGAGAATGCTTGAGGTGCCCTGGCAGATGACAGAGGAAGTAATAAAGAGGCCAGAGGAAAGTGGATATGTAGGAATGCATATATTGGGATCAGAAGACCCACTGGAGGATCAGGTTCTACGGGAAGGTCCGGGAGACACACCATCCAAACCAAAGCCATCAAGAAGGTGCTGGGACCTTCAGAAGTTCAGTGGTCTCCCGTCTGAAGGTGAGATGGGCAGTCACAGTGCTGGCTCGCTAACAGCCATGCAGATAATCTTCACCAAAATAACAGAGGCCACGTGATGGTACTTAAACTCCAGGAGCCAGAGGGCTGTGATTATCCTAACAGATGGCAAGGCTGGAGGACAGCCAAGGGGGCTAGACTCTCAGGGAGTTGTACAGCTAGTTAATAATGTGGGGGGGGGGCATCCCTATGGGAAAAACAGACAGCAACCAACAATGACAATGTTTAACCCACCAAGAGGGCAAGAATGGACTATCAGAAGATGAGGACGTTTGCTCCAAAAAATATTCACGATGCCTTTCTCTGTTCCTGGACCTGAGTCAATTTTCAGATCTGGTACACACTGATTGAAGAAGAGACAAAGTCTCTAAAAGACACCCCCTGCAATACTTCAGTAAGTATATACTGTAATGATTCTGTCAGTCCTTCTACAAAGGACCCTATAGCCATTTACTCAGGTGACCACACTAGGGAGAGGGGATTACTCATATATTTCAAGCACTATTAAACACAAGATCTGAGTTGATATTGATATCTGAAGGCCAAAAGAATCATCACATTCACCCTGTTAGAGTGAGAACTTATAGGGATCAATAAGAGTCCTGACTAAAATTCTGTTAATAGTGGGTCCGCTGTTTTCAAAGATCCACCCAACAGTCATTTACCTGGTGCAAATATATAATTATACATTATGCATTGACGTAATTAGCATTTAGAGTAGGCTTACACTGGATGTTTGGCCTGTGGAGCTTTCCTAGTGTAAAAGGCCAAGTGGAAATGTCTGACACTGCCCCTTCCTGACCAACAGTGTAAATGAAGATGATATCAATATTCACCACCATCCCCACCCCAAGCAATATTCTGATTTACTCTCTTGGTGGCAGAGGGGTAGAGTCAGAGGTTTCCCCTTGGTCTTACCCACTATGGGAGTTCAGAGAAATCTCTGTGGAGCTCAGGTGGTCAATCCACTTGAGTCTTTCTTGATCCTCCTTACCCAGTCGTAACTACGAATGGTCTGAGTAGAGTGTGATTATCAGAGGCTGAGATCACTCTAGACCACTCTGATTGAGGGCTGGGTCACACCACAGTGTGGTAAGTCACCAAGACCTTCAGAGCTGCTGGCTGAGGGTGAGAGGAATCAAAAATGGACAGTAGAGGAGGGAGATGATGAGATCAGGTAGGGCCCTGAGACATACTACCATGACAGGAGTTATAGGTAATTCCATTAGCCTCCCTCTTGTCAATTTCCTTTCAGGAAGAGAGGCCCATGGGAACTGTGGAAGAGCAGGTTCAGGAAGTTGTGTGACATGTTGTCCAAACCATGGACTGTGGCAGCCATGGATGTGCACAGCTCAGATGTTCCTTCAAAACAAAAATCTACTGGGAAGAACATAAATAGTTGCTAAACTTTTGGGATCCTCTCAAGTGTTCATGCCAAGGCCACACTCTCCCGAGGCTGCTCCAAGTTAATAACTGAGCTTGCAGAGACACCAGAACCAGCCCATCTGTCCCATGCAGGACTTCTAACAAACATTCTCTGCTCTCAGATTGCCCACTGGCCCAGCCAAAATCTTCCCACTGCAGAGAGATTTTTCGCCAAACCTCCTTCCTTCCTTCCCCATCTCCTTCCACAGATGTCAAAATTTCCTGGTCCTCTTGTCCTTCCCTCTCATCATTTTGCACTTCTAATTTTGTCCTGCCTCCTGAAGGACCTGTACTGACACACAATCATTTCTCCCACTTAAAAAGCAATTAACATAAACTGCTAAGGTTTATGAAGTAAATAAAAATGGAACTAATGAGAGCGTATTCATCAGCACAATTGTTGGATAATATTGTATTACCTATAATCTTACCTGAATTTTATTTGTGTCAATCAAGTGCTGGGCCATTGATTTTAGGATAATTGCAAAGAAGAACCAGGAGTGCTATTAGAAAAAGACAGTAAGAAATTTATTTAATGAATTATGAAATAATGATGATTCTGTGCTCTACAATATGTAATTTTATAAAATCTTGATTTTAAAATGTATTCTTTGAAATGGATGGGCCAACTGCACACACATGACTGTCCAGCTTGCACAAATGGACTTGGCTCCAGCCACACGGGCCTCTCTGCTGTCCCTCTGACACTCCAGGCATGCTGCTGCCTTGTGATTTTATATATGTCTCCCCTTTACCTTTACTGTTCTCCAAGCATTCACATGACCAGCTCCCCCTCTTTCTTTGCATCTTTTGCTCAAGGATTACCTTCTCCATGAGCTCTATCCTGACCATTCTATTTAAACTGCAAACCTCACTCTGTACCCCCAGTGCTCCCTGTTCCTCTTACTGGCTCAACATTTTATTTTCCCATAGCACTTCTTACTTTCTAATACACAATTTCATTAATTTTGTTATTATGTCTGTAGTTTATTGTTTTTATCCCCCAGTAGAATGCAAGCTTCCCAAGGGCAGAGATCTTTATTCTATTCTCTGATGCCTGCCAAATGCTGGGGTTGGTGCCTGTCCCATGGGGGGTGCTTGGAACATTTTTGTTGCATGAACAGAATGAATATACTCATAAGACTAATTTAAACAAACTGCTCAGCCTAGAATAACTTGAGTTTAGGGAACTCATGTTGATGCTTATTGATCCCGCCCTCTCTTTCCAGCTACATACTAATCAATCATCCATCTGTCAAGTCATGATAGATAATTAATTTAGCTAGGGACTAAGTCCGTTCTTCTATAATAATTTAGAGTTATCTCTTTATAAGCTTCTCACCATCTCTTCTTTATGTACCTACAAATGCATGTGTTTCAACTTTCTGTGGTCAAACCGTGGTTGTTTTGTCTGCTTCCTTTCTGTTGTCAGTATATTCATTAATACATCATTAATCCTTTTGTTGGTACATTTCTTCTTATCATGCCTAAAAGTCCCCAAAACTTTATTTTTGCTACAGTTAACACTTTTGAGTGTTTCAGATGATTCTTTTTTTTTTTTTTTTAAGATTTTATTTATTTATTTGTCAGAGAGAGACACAGCGAGAGAGGGAACACAAGCAGGGGGATGGGAGAGGGAGAAGCAGGCTTCCCGCCGAGCAGGGAGCCCGATGTAGGGCTCGATCCCAGGACCCTGGGATCATGACCTGAGCCGAAGGCAGACGCTTAACAACTGAGCCACCCTGGTGCCCCTGGTTGATTCTTAATAGTTACTCATTCTGTATTTAGGTCAAAAGACTCCACTTGGGTCCATTCTATATCTTCTGTTCTTTTGACACAGATCTCTTTTGCTTAATGTTTTTATATACTACAATTTCAATACAGCTTATGACGCTTATGCTAGAAACTACAGGAGAAATGATCTATGGAAATCAATGAGTCTTACTGCCTTTCCAGGGGTGAGATCAAGCAATCCCTCGGGCCAGCAGTTGAAGGATTGTTTTAAATTCTTTACCTTCAGGACATGCTTTACTGTTGTTGAGTCATTTGATTTCAAAAGACCAGTCACATTTTTAGCCAGTTCCTCATGTATTGTTCTCTCCTTGCATGCCGTGGTCTTGAACACGAACTGAAGAAAATCCAGAAAGTGAAAAAAGTTAAAGGCTTAAAAAAACAACAACAAAGCCTCAAAAATTATGTTACACAAATAACTCATGTCTCAAAATTATCTGCTCATGCCAGATTTTGTCATGAAATCAATGAAGGCCCAATGATAAGAGTAGTACACAACTGTTCCTATTTAGGGCTTTGCACAGAGAGGGCTCGGCTCACCTAAGCTCTCCTTGAAACTCTCTTTGTAGAAATCAAAAGAAAGAGTCAGAGAGCAATTTAGCAGGTTCAAGGAAACATGGAGGGCTTTGACCCACCTACTTAGGACACATTTCCCCTTCTCCTTCCTTCCACTGGTAACAGGTGACATGGTAGCATTTCTTCATCCTGAAAGGGTAGAGCACCCACTCAAATAGCCAAGTGGGGAAGCAGGTGCCTTCCAGAGGCCAGTAGGTGAGCTCCCCACACGCCCGGTTTCTATCACCTCATGCTTAGACACAGCTATCAGAGAGTCCATGAACATTGGCCATCAGTAAGATAACAAATGCTGCTCACATTTTTTTCTCTCAAAAGACTGGTTTTGGTGTGCCTTTCCGAATGCATGTAATGGTTTCAATTTTCAGTATTCCTTCATAGATTTTAAGGATATCAATACCCATTTATGCACATATTTTAAATACAAAATGCTTATCCCTGGATTATACTATTTTACTTCATGAGTTGGGTTTGCCTCAAGGAAGGCCATTTCTTCATAATTTTCACCACCCAGACTTCATATAATCAAGAGTGAAGGCAGGCAAGAAACTCAAAGCAGAGGCTCATTCACATTTGGATCTATATAATTTTTTCTTTGGACTTTGCAACTCATGAACACCTAAGTTGCTCTGATGGAGCCTGACTTCTCCAAGCTCATCCCAGAGGAGAAAGACAAAGCTAAGAGATGGCCCAAATCAAGAGTAATATGACGTTTTTTTCCCTCATGAATTGTGACTCATGCGAGGGTAATATCATCACCAACTACCTAGTCCCATGCACAGTTATTTAGCCCCAGTAGCATTACAACTGGCTCTGAGATATTCTTATTTTAAAATTTTGGCCTGGAACGTGACAGGAACATGTCAATGCCATGAATTGCTGTAAACCACGGCATTTAAATAGATCAACTAGAGACACACATCTTTGCAAAAGACATGGTGTATGTGTGCGGTTTGGATATTGTAAATGGGGTGAGTTAGCAGCATTTAGCACCACTGAACTTGAAATGGTGTTTAGCTTGCTTCTGAATATACATAAACTCCACTGAATATATCACATCTTTTAAGAACATCAAAGCATATACTGGTACCAGACCATCAGTTTTAATTATACACTTAGTTATGGGGCTTAATATCTATCCACATGTTAAAAAATACTTCTTCCTACAGGGAATAAAAAAAATCAGGCTCGTTGGTCAAGGTCAGGGTGTCAATAACGTACTGCAATAGGAGTCCAATCACAGAATCATAGGTTCACAATCATGTTCATCAGGTCCATCCCTTCACAGAGGAGAAAAAATGAGGTCTAGAGAGGCTGATTGCTCAGGTTAACTATTTAGCCTTGACTAGAATCTAATTTCCCACTTGCTAGTTTAGTGTTCTTTCTGGAGTAAAATTCCAGTTGATAATATTTATTAGGATGTGTCCACTTTAGATATGTGAAAATATTTTTATGAAACATCTTTCGGAACTGTTACAAGCTTGAAATCCCACTTAGGTGTATATTTCTGGATTTTACCCACTTCAAAGCAAACTAAATAAGCAATCTCTTACACAGCAAAATCAAATGGTCTCATCAGGAGATTTCAAACATCCTGGTTAAAAATAAAGACCATGCCAGGATACATTCCAATACACCTTTTCAAGAACATCACAGAATGAGCCTGAGAGCTGATTTAAGATTCTAATAAGGAACTTTCTTTGGCTGTCACAAAAGTAGTCACAGCATAAGTGGGTTCTTAATGTAATCTTTAATGATTCCATTGGAATGAGGTAAATACTTGTGTTGAAATGAAGATGCCTTTGTGTAATATGGACTGGGGAATTGTTTTCTTCTTAGCCCCTTTGGTGATTGAAATGGAAAACTTGGTTAAGCATTGAAAGAAAGTTCTGTGGATGATTCTGTTGAATGTAAATTCATCAGTACTGGATTAAAGTATGCTACTGCTCTGTCTTAAACAGACAGCAAACTAAACAAGCATTTGTAGGTCAACTGTCTTTCTGCAACTGAAATGTAGATCTCGTTGGGTAAAATTATACCATAGGGAAATTATTGTGAAATAACTGACTATTTTTGGCATATGGGCTATTTTAAGGAAGGGCACATGCTCATACTTGGGTATTTGGGAAGATACCTAACATTTCAGGCAGTTAGAAACTATGCAGATATAAAACCATAATGTAAAAAATCCCTCAGAGGGATTCACTCCAGAATGAAATTTCATAGGAAGCTTTGTTTTCTTTTCTTTTTTTTTTTTACTCATTTCTAGCACAAAAAAGCCCCAAAATTCTTTTCTAGTCACCTTTCTAGACATCTAAATCATAGGAGTATATGTCTATTCGTATAGATTAATGGAATAAATTCTTTCAATTAAAAAAGTTCTGTGTCTCACAATGGTTTAATCTATACATAAAAAAAAAGAAATTGAGCTCCTCTATGCATTATAAAGTAATGCAAGTTACTCTCGTTTATCTCTGGATGGATTCTTTCTTTTCATTCAAGAAGATGACATTTAGGCAGGAACTCTAATGTGCAAACATCATCACAAGTTCACTGGCATTAATTCATAGGCCAACTGGAAATGAGAATATGAACATGTCTGAGTGAATGCTTGGCGAAGGACACTGGAAGAAGCAGTGCACAGGGATGGAATGGGCTAGTGGATCATGCCCGAGGATAAAGGACTTAACATACCAGAAGCAGGTACAAATATACAGTAACTGGGAAAATGAAATAATGCCTGAGAAAACAATAAAAAGAGCTAAGAAAACATTGCAGAAGAAACACAGAGCATTCAACAAACCAACAAGAAAAATATTCCATAACTTTACACAGGAATTGCATTTATTTGTAATGTGGACTTCAAGAGGGTAATACTTTCATTTTTTCTTCTCTTTCTTTGTTCTTTCTCCCCATATAAATATTCATTTGCACAAGTACATGTTATTACACATTTAAACAATATGTCTTGACCATCAAAGCAAAGAGATGGAATTATAAATAGCTAGGGGGAATGCTTGATATTACCATGGTGAGCCCCATCCAGCTAAAGGGAGAAACGTCCCACTTATTGCAGACAGGAAATGAGACAAACCACACAGCACAAGGGGATATGCCCAGGGTCCAAGTGGCGATTTTATACCTTAATGTACGACTGGACAGAGTGGTCCAGCTGCTCCTCATGGCACTTGGCCACAATGTCGGTCAGAACCCTGGAAAAAAAAAACTGTTCAGTGGCCTTTCTGGAGAAGGCAGGAAAATATCACTTGGTTGGGCACTGGAGTTTTTCATAAACTGGGTGTTTAATAGGTACTGAATGAATGCATGAACCAATTTCAGACTGCCCCCCCCTTTTGATCCCCAATATCCATATCACCTGTTAATCATCTCCAGCGTTGAAATCTCTAAACACTAAGATACAAGGAATATCTATGGCTTCAAAATCACACTGGAGACTGTTATGGCTTGCATGTTTGCTGACACTGTCTTCTTGGAAAAAGGATCATTTTTGGTACCTGATTAAAATTGAAGACCTTTAACCTCTAATTATCATAGTCCATTTAAAGAGGGCTTCCCTTCCAATGTGGAGGCACGACATATGCTTTTGTAAAGAGCCATTAGGTTAGGATTCAGGGTTTTGTTTTTTATTTCCCTCCTTAGCTGGTGAAGTGTTTCTAGCAGCAGTGGTCGTACTATTTCCACATTAATACGTCCTGTTGCTCCATGGTTGTAGTGTTTTGGAATGTCTTGCAATTTCAGCAGATCTATCCGCTGAAATAGTTCGGAGTCTTGTTCACAAAGACCCATATATAAACGCTGAAAAGAGCCTCAGTTGAAGTCACAGTTGGGGACTTTTAATCTGGGCCCAGAACTGGCTGCGGTGGGACTGTTAGACATACTTTAATTTTCCAGAGCTTCAGGGTGCTACTTTAAAAACAAGGCTGGGGCGCCTGGGTGGCTCAGTTGGTTAAGCGACTGCCTTCGGCTCAGGTCGTGATCCTGGAGTCCTGGGATCGAGTCCCGCATCGGGCTCCCTGCTCGGCGGGGAGTCTGCTTCTCCCTCTGACCCTCTTCCCTCTCGTGCTCTCTGTCTCTCATTCTCTCTCTCTCAAATAAATAAATAAAATCTTTAAAAAAAAAAAAGGCTAAAAACTCTCATTCTGAAAGAGGTTAATAATATGCATGTGAGTTTGGAAAGTTCTGGACAAATTTCAATGTCAAGAGTACTTTTTTTTCCAGAATTCTGTGACTAATATATTTTTTAAAATAAACATTAGGCAAGCTTTACCTAATTTAAAACAGAATCCCTATAGAGAGGAAATCAGCATTGTCAAAGTCACTAGACAGATTGGAAATGTTGGAAGAATGTAGTATAGACAAATTTAAAGGGAGAACAATTAAAGAAAAATAAAAAAAAAATCTAGAGCAAATGTGAAATGGTACAGCCATTCTGGAAAACAATTCGGTATTTTCTTAAAAACTGCACATGCAACTATGATATTACCCAGCAATGGCACCAGGCATTTATCTCAGATAAATAAAAACTTGTGTTCACCCAAAATCTACGCCAAACTGGAAAAAACCCAGATGTCCTTCCTATCTATCTGTGGGTCTAGCTCTATCTATCTATTATCTATCTATCTATCTATCTATCTATCTATCTATCTATCTATCTATCATCTATCTATTATCTATCTATCATCTATCTAACATCATCTATCTATCTATCATCTATCTATCTAACATCATCTATCTATCTATCTATCTATCTATCTATCTATCTATCATCTAACATCATCTATCTATCATCTATCTATCTATCTATCTATCTATCTATCTATCTATCTATCTATCATCTATCTATCATCTATCTAACATCATCTATCATCTATCTATCTAACATCATCTATCATCTATCTATCTATCTATCTATCTATCTATCTATCATCTATCTATCATCTATCTAACATCATCTATCTATCTATCTATCTATCTATCTATCTATCTATCTATCTATCATCTATCTATCACCTATCTATCTATCATCTATCTATCATCTATCTATCTATCCATCTATCTATCTATCTATCTAACATCATCTATCTATCATCTATCTATCTATCTATCTATCTATCTATCTATCTATCTATCTATCATCTATCTAACATCATCTATCT